CTGCTGGTCTCCTCAGCAGTGTATATCAGTAGAGCTGCCTGTTCTGCTCCCCACTCTTTCTTTTTTTTTTTTTTAAGATTTATTTATATTCATACAAGAGCTGGGGTATAGGCCAGAGGTGTGGCGGGGGAGAGGATTCACCAGAGACAGAGCAGGAACAGAACAAGCAGATCAAGGGCCTCCCGTGGTGGTGCAGCGGTTGAGCGCTGGGCTACGAAGCTGCCCACAGCCTCTGCAGCGCTGGTTCGATCCCCGGCCACCGGTGAGGGTCCCACATGGTGCCACAGACCTCTCCTGCCACGCCCACCGCTCCCCTCAGCAGTGTATTTTGTCAGTTTGCCTGTTCTGCTCCCCGCTCTGGCTCTGGTGAATTCTCTCACCCTCCTGTGCTTCTGACTGTACCCAGTGCTTGTATAAATAAATAAATAAATCTTTAAAAAAAAAAAAAACAAAAAAACCCAAGCAGATCGACCGAAGTACACTGCTGAGGGGAGCAGTGGGCAAGTCAGGAAAATGCTGCGCCATGTGGGTTGCTCCCTGACCAACCAGGGATTAAACTCGTGCTGCAGAGGCTACAGACAGCTTCACAGTGTGTCTTAACCCCTTGCGCCACCAGGGAGGCCCACCCCAATCTGTCTTTGGTGAATCCTTTCACCCCCGCACCTCTGACCTATGCCCCAGTTCTTTGAAAAATAAATAAAAGATCATTTCAATCATTGGTGGCAGAGATAGGATTTTAACGCAGGCAAAAGTACAAGCAGTGTGTCCCCAGAACTTAATAGCTGGGTGGCCCCTATGTACTCTTAGAAGGCCAAGGCTATTCCAGAAGGGGCAGAGGGGGGACTTGGCAGAGCGGCCATGTGGGATTCTATTAGCACCTACCCCCAGGGCCTTGGGGCAGGGAAGAAGAGGGCTGAGGGGACAATTCTGCAGCGTATCCTGTTATGGGCACCCTGGAGACCTGCTGACATTGTGATGGCACCACTGTCCACAAGGATATTGCAGCAGGGTGAGAAGATAAAATCAGCAGTTTCGATGGTTGTGAATGTTTCTAGAGTGCATCGCTTTTCCTGCTTGTGAATTTAGGGGAAACCCACAGTGGTATTCAAGCCATTGCCAAGTCTGTGTTGGTTCTCAGGGAAGGAGTCACAGGGGAAGGAACAACAGGAGGGGAAGCGGAAGAAGGGGTGTCAACACCCACAAACTTCTAGTTACGAGACAGGTAAGTCCTGAGGCTTGATGCATCGCCTGATGAACACTGCTGTGTGCTGTGCTGGGAAGTTGTTAGTGTAGTGGGGAGAAATGTCCAGGTGAGGCCAGAGGCGCTGGGATGAAAGAATCCACCTGAGACAGTGGAGAACAGAAAAGGTGGATTTATTGACATACACTACTAAGAGAAGCAGCAGACCAGATGAGAGGTCTGAGCCTTTCTTAAACTCTGTTTTCATGGGCTTTCTAACTGGGGGCACCAGTTTGCACTTGCTATCTGCATGTCTGGTCTTGGCCTTTGACATAGAAACATGTCCTGGCCTTTGCTTCTATAATCCTGGAGCTGGGCTGGCTTTTCCAGATGTGGTAGTTGGTCTGTGGCCTTGTCCCCAAGGCAGCCTTATCCATTCCCTCATCTCTCCGGCCTCCCAAACCAGCCTGCTGGGTCCAGAGTGGGGGTTTAGTTTTTAACCTTATTGAATGGTCCCCTGACAGTTAAGAGAGTAGATCCTTAGAATTGTCATCACAAGAAAAAGAATTTTTCTTTGTATCTATATGAATTGATGGCTGTTATGTAAACTTCCTGTGGCGATCATCTTAGTGTGGTCATATCTGCTGTCTGCCTTACCCTCACCCTGTGCTGTGCAGCAGCCACCCCCGGGCAGGGGCAGGACTTGCCTCCCATGCTCATTGACTTGGCCTCGAATCTGCCTGCCTTTCACCTTGTCCTTGAGGCCTGAGCTCCCTGTCTTATGTATTTGTATGCCTGTGTGTGTATATGGGGCGTGGAGGTGGGTTTCCTTCACTTTCAGTGGATTCTCACATGCCGGTGGGACATGGGAAGAATCTCACGGGCAACTCTGGTGGGCAGAACTTGCTGCACCCCGCCCTCTGCCCTCTCTGCTGCCAGTGGCCTGCATGAGGAGAGGGCCTGGCTCAGCCCTCTGCCTGTTGAGTTGGCTGGGAGGAGAAACAGGATCTCCCACATCCAAGCCAAATTCGTTTCAAGCCATAATTACCCAGTTTCGACTCCAGTCCTTCTTGGCCTGGTGTCACGTGTCCTCTCTGTAGCCACAGGCTGCGTGGCTTGTGGGGCAGCAGCAAAACAACCAGATGTCTGGGGCCCTGCTCTCGGGACCGAGGCTGGCCCCCAAGTGTACTGATATTAAACTTGTACCATCTAGTGGTGAGACTGTCCCCCTCACCCACAGGGGGGATGCTCACAGCCGGCTCTGCAGACTGTGCCCTGGCTTGCACTGTTTCTGAAGCTCCCAACATAATGCCACTAAATACGCAAGTGAAGGCGGGCCACAGCGCACCTTCCTACAGTATTTCTTCAGACAAACACGGTGGAAGTCCCCCAAGAGCCAAGTAAAACATGGTGGAATGGTCAGGAAATCGTATATTTGGAGTAGTTAGTACTTTATTTTTAACATAACTCGTTTACGTTGGTGCGATTGAACACTCAATAATCTCTGTTTAATGACTGTCTCTTGGATTTCCTGAACATTTCACAATTTTCTCCTGCGAGCCACTGTGAAGGGACGCCAGCATACCGCTGCCTCGCTCCCCCTGTTTCAAATCCCTTTGTTGGGGGATAGGAATTGGTTAGGGGGCTGGAGAATTGTGAGAACAGAGGGGCCCGGCCGTGATTCCCTTGGCAGGGCTGGAGGCTGTGCCGTGGGGTACTGTGGAGTCTCCCATACCTGACTCCCATTCATCAGGGGCCCCCAGCCTGGTCCACAGGGCCCCGCAGTGAAGCATAGATGGGAGCTTTGACGTGTTTGAGGCTCCTTGGTGACACACTTTCTGCAGTTCACTTGAACGTCCAGCCTAAACATGATCCCCATGGTACTCTGAGCCCATGGCCCTTTTCTTCAGAGCCCTCCCCACGGACACCCTTCCCCGCTGCTGCCTCTGCCTCTCTGGAAGCTCCAGAAGGGCACATCCCTGAGCAACCCACATAGGGCAGTGACTCAAATATCTGGGGCAGGGGAAGGGCCTAAGGGAGCAGGCAGAAAGATGGACAAGAAAAGGAGGGAGAGGAAATGTAACTTATTTGAGTTTGTTGGAGAAGCGTGGCCACTGGGAGTGCGCAGACTCTCTTTGGTTCCTCTGGCTGCGAGGATGCATGGATGGCACTCTCGCTGCCCCTGACACAGACTTGATTTTAAACTGATAAGAACAGATAGTGCATTTGATCTTAGCAAAAAGGCCAAGAAGGATAGACCTAATTTTATTTATTTATTTATTTTTAAAGATTTATTATTTATTTATTTATTTATTTTTTAATTTATAGAGGCATGTTTTATTTATTTGTTTGTTTGTTTGTTTGTTTGTTTTGTTTATACAAGCACTGGGTACAGTCAGAAGCGCGGGAGGGTGAGAGAATTCACCAGAGCCAGAGCGGGGAGCAGAGCAGGCAGAAGGACCGAAGTACACTGCTGAGGGGAGCAGCGGGCGGCACGAGAGGTCTGCGTGCCATGTGGAACCCTCCTCTGGTGGCCGGGGAGCAGCCGGGGATCGAACCGGCGCCGCAGAGGCCGCGGGCAGCTTCGCAACCCAGCGCTCAACCGCTGCGCCACCTGGGAGGCCCTATTTATTTATTTATTTATACACGCACTGGGTACAGTCAGAAGCGCAGGCGGGTGAGAGGATTCACCAGAGCCAGAGCGGGGAACAGAACAGGCAGACTGACGAAATACACTGCTCAGGGAAGGAGCGGGCAGCAGGAGAGGTCTGCGCGCCATGTGGGACCCTTGCTGGCGGTCGAGGATCGAACTGGCGCTGCAGAGGCTGCGGGCAGCTTTGCAGCCCGGAGCTCAACTGCTGCGCCACAGGGGAGACCCTAGACCTGATTTTAAATGGCTTGAAACATAAGAGAAATCCACGACCTCACTAGCCCGAAGCCCCAAGGCAGGGTGCCTCCCTGGTGGTACTTTCAGACACCCCTTTTGTCTCCTTCTGTGCTGCCTTCCCAGGGTGCAGACTACCTTCAGACCAGTGTCCTGGCTATAGTATCGTCCTCAGAAATAGTTTCTTCTTATGCAGCTCTTTTTTTTTTTTTTTTTAAGATTTATTTATTTATTTATACAAGCACTGGGCACAGTCAGAAGCACAGGAGGGTGAGAGAATTCACCAGAGCCAGAGCAGAGAGCAGAACAGGCAGAAGGACCGAAGTACACTGCTGAGGGGAGCAGCGGGTGGCAGGAGAGGTCTGCGTGCCATGTGGGACCCTCCTCCGGTGGCCGGGGAGCAGCCGGGGATCGAACCGGCGCTGCAGAGGTTGCGGGCAGCTTCACAGCCCAGCGCTCAACCTCTGCGCCACTGGGGAGGCCCTTATGCAGCTCTTTTTAAGAGAAAGGGATGCCCCACTGCCACCCCAGCCCCCTGTGACCATGTACCCTGTCCCATAGCCTAGCCTTGCCAGGGGGCTGAGCGACCAGAGGTTCTCAGTGAGGTGTCCAGAGCCACAACTCCAGGGAGCATGTCCAGCCAGCTGAATTGTAATAAACCCTCCTGGTGGTTTGAAGCTCTGTCAAGTTTAACAACTGGGGCTGAATGAATTGTGACCCACGCTGAGGGGACGTCCCTGAACTCCAGTGGGGTACCACTGAGAGGGGAATAGAGCCCTGAGCCAGCCCCAGTGACTGGAGCTGCCAGTGAGACGTTCTGCAGCCACTGCCTCTAGCCAGGGCAGGAAGTAGACCGAGCTTGGAGATGAGAGGCAGCGGTGCCCAGGCAAGAACCATGCTGGACCCGACTCGCCTTTGCCTTCTCCCTCCCTCCAGCTACCAGAGATTCACTGACTGTTACAAGCGCTTCTACCAGCTGCAGCCTGAGCTGACACAGCGGATCTACGACAAGTTTATAACGCAGCTGCAGACATCCATCCGGGTGAGTGGCGAGACCCAGCAGGCGCCGTTGGCTTGAGTCCCGTCTCCAGGTTGTCAGTCCTGAGGGCAGAGACCTGGCTCTGGGCCCCTCCTTGGCCTCACCCCCAGAATTGTCCTCTGAGCCCAACAGGCTGTGGGCCGTCATCCCTCCCCCGCTGTGCTGTGGGCATCTTAAATGCCCCTTCTCTCCTTGTCCGGTATCATAATTGCAGGTTTATGTGCCGTCTGCTCCACTAGCCCTTGGGAGCTCCGGGGACAGGGTGGGGTCTCGCCTCTTTGTCTCTCCAGCATCTGCTGCAGCCAAGGCACAGGGAGCTGCTTGGCGGGGTGTTGGATAAAGTGAAACAGCTCCCCACAGGGAGTGTGAAAACCGAGAGGATCCCATTCCTAACTCAGGATCTGTGATCTCTCTAGAGTTAAATTTCTGTGCTGTTACATTCCAGAATGGGCCTACTAAGCATCCAAATGTGTGTGGTGTTTGCAAAAGATGCCATGGGTGTGGGCAAGAGCAACGGCCGGAGCATTCAGAGGTGATGGCAGAAGGAGAGACACCTGCAGGCTTTTTAAGTGTTCTGTTTTATCATTTTCTTAATGATAAAAGTCACATGTTATAGAAAAGTTGGAATATTTATATAAAGAAACAGAAGAGAAATTAGCCAAATCTGGGGCCTCCCTGGTGGCACAAGGAATTAAGATGCAACCTATGAAGCTGTTGGCAGCCACTGCAGCATGAGTTCAATGCCCGGCCAGGGAGCTACCCACATGGCGCAGCAGACCTCTCCTGACTAGACCGCTGCTCCCCTCAGCAGTGTATTTCGGTCATTCCACCTGTTCTGCTCCCCACTTTGTCTCTGCTGAATCTTCTCACCCCCTGCACCTCTGGCCTGCACCCCGGCTCTTGTATGCATAAAAAAAAAATCTTTAAAAGAAAAAAAAATTAGTCAAATCTTACTAAGTGTTGCTAGCAGTTTACGTGTTTCTACATGGGCTTCTTTGGAATCCTTACAGTTGTTATCTCCTCCCTCCTCTTCAGGAGGAAATCTCTGAAATCAAAGTGGAGGGGAATCTGGAAGCCATCTTGAACGCCTTGGATACAATTGTGGAAGAAGGCAAAGATCGAAAGGAGGCGGCCTGGTAAGAGGGGCTCACAGGAAAGAGGCCACCTTTCAAACAAATGCCAAACAGTAGCCCAAGCCAGTGAAAAATGGCCCCAGTAGGGGAGGAGAAGCCCCCCAAGGGAAAGCTTCCTGGGGGAGCTCACTTCAGAACCACCTGGCCTGGGGGAGAAGGGATGGAGGGAATCTTGGGTTGGTTAGGCCGGGTGGGCATGGGTTTTTCTTCACTTGCCCATTCAGCAGGTATCTAGGGAGCATCCAGTATATTCCTGTGAACTATTTTAGATGCCAGAGATTCAGCAGTGAACAAGACACAAGCCCCTCCTCTCCTGGAGCTGCCGCTTTAGCAGGTGGCTGGGCAGCCTGCTGTGGCCCGTGCAGAGGAGGGGGCCGGGGTGAGGAGTGGAGAGGAGAGGCGTCCGTCCAAGACCTCGAGCCGCCTGACTCTGCCTCCTACAACCCTCCCCTGTCAGTGCAGGCTCCTAGGCCAGGGGAGAAGATGCCTTTCCTGTGCTTTTGACCTTAATACTTAAGAGGATTAAATTTTATAACTGAAAAATCATTTTTTTAAAGAACCCAGAGGGGCTTTTACCCCATTCCCCATCAGAACGGACCCATCTCTTCCCTCTGGGCTTTTGGCGCCCTTAACCTCACCTCCCACACCTGCTCCGTATCCGCCCACATGAGCCAGCATGTCTGCGGGGCTGGGCCTGAGACGGTTCATTCTGCCCCCGTCACTCCAGCTCACATTCTGATGGCCGGGTGCGCAGCAGGGTGGGTGGTCACAGGGACAGCAGCAGGGCTAAAAAGTGGCTTCTAGCCCTGGCGTGGCAGTGGTGGGAAGGAGAATAGGTCTAGGGTGGGGAAGGCTGAGGTAAGGCCTGGTGGATTCCTGGGCACTGCAGCAGAGGGACAGCAGGTCCGTGGTCCCATGCAGAGCAGGGGCCAAGCAGCTGGGTCTTGGGAGGCAGATGGGACCACCGTGAGGCCTGGGAAGCCAGCCTAGCTTGAGACCCGAGGGGGCATGTGCCCAATAGGCTTGACAGTGGAGCCCTCGCTCCACACGTCCTCCCCTCCCATCCTCTCTGCCCATCGTGGCCCCAGGCGCCCTAGCGGGATCCCAGAGAAAGACATGCGCAGCGCCTTGCTGCCCTACTTCCTGCAGCAGAGGGACACCCTGCAGCGCCGCGTGCAGAAGCAAGAGGTGGAGAACAGGCAGCTGGCAGACGCCATCCTGGCCGGGCGCAAGCAGGTAGAGGAGCTGCAGCTGCGGAGCTGGGCGCAGCAGCAGGCCTGGCAGGTGAGTGCCCTGAGCAGAGAAAGGAGCCCCAGGGAGGGCAGCCACTTGCTCCTCATGTCAGCCAGCCTACCTCTGTAGCTCCCCGTGTGACCACTGCGCAGGCCTGTAAAGTGTCACATGCTGGAGTGTGCCCTCTATGCAGCCCTGCCTGTCCTGGGAGGGTGACTTTAATGTTTGAAAGTTGCCCCATGTCTCTTGGGACCAAGTGGGTGACTTGGGCAGAGGGTCATCAGGCAGGTGACAGGGGTGGCAGGTGTGGCTGCAGAGATGAGACAGGTTTTCTTACTGGCTCGCAACATGCTTCCAAAAGAGGCTTTCTAGGGCCTCCCCAGTGGCACAACGGGTTAAGCACAGTGCTGTGAAGCTGTCCACAGCCTCTGCAGTGCGGGTTCGATTCCCGGCCAGCCAGGGAGATTCCTACATGGCGTGGCAGACCTCTCCTGTCACACCCGCTGCTCCCCTCAGCAATGTCTTCCGTCCTTCTGCCAGTTCTGCTCCCCACTCTGTCTCTGGTGAATCTTCTCACCCTCCCACACCTCTGACCTGTATCCCAGCTATTGTATAAATAAAAAATAAATCTAAAAAAAAAAAAGGGGGGCCTCCCTGGTGGCGCAGGCGGTTGAGCGCCGCACTGTGAAGCTGTCCACAGCCTCTGCAGTGTGGGTTGGATCCCGGCTGGCCGGTGAGAATCCCACATGGTGCAGCAGACCTCTCCTGTCATGCCCACTGCTCTGCCTCAGCAGTGTATTTCGTCAGTCTGCCTGTTCTGTTCCCTGCTCTATCTCTGGTGAATCCTCTCACCCTCCCGCACATCTGGCCTGTACCCCAGTTCGAGTATAAAATAAATAAATCTTAAAAAAACAAACAAACAAACAAAAAAAGAGGCTTTCTAGGCGGGCTTGACGGTAACACACTGTCACTTCATTTAACTTGTCACTGAGCCAGTCACCTTGTCTACTTAGAGACACTTGGCTGCTCCCTTCTTGAGGCAGGCCCTCCTGTGTCTTAGGGCCCCACGCCCATGTGGGATCTTGGTCGCCTCTTCCCAAGACCAGTCAGCTCAGCCACCCTTGCTCAGTAAGGCCTGTCCTGTGCAGGAGGAGGGACCCAGCTCAGTCCCCTGCTCCCCACCCCGCTGTCTCCCCAGCAGCAGGGGACTGAGCTGCAGACACCATGGCCCTCCTGGCCCCTCAGCCTGGTTCTGTCTGGTGGGGCTGGTTCCACAGCTCTGAGTTGTGTCTTGGTGCTCTTGAGGCCACCCTGCTGGGTCCTTAGACAAAATGCTGCTCTGCATTGCTACTCCACCTCCTTGAGGCCAGCACCCCCTCCCCAGCAAGGCCATGCTTCTGTACTGGTCCAGTAACGAATGCTCCCAGGGCCGGCCAGCTCTGAATAAGTCATCTATAGTGAGGGGGCTCAGAGCTCCCTGCTCCTACAGCCACACCTTACCCCACAGATCCAGGGCCCAGCCGCTGCTTGAAGTGGGCCTGCAGGATTGTGTTCGTGAGGCTCTAGTAGGGGAGCTTTAGAGAGCTGTTTTCATCATGGTTCAATATTGGTAGCCCAGCTGAAAGACTACTTAATTCAAGAAAATTCCTCTGCTCTGATTCCCCTGTTGGGGCCTCAGGTGGGAAAAGGGGAGGGCCATGGGGCACTTGGGGGCCCTAATGAGGACCAGCTCTGCTCTGGGGAGGCTCAGCCTACATGGGTCACGGCACCCAAATTGCCATAACTCCTGCTTAGCAGGGGGAACTTCCCAGCATGCCCCACTGGGCTTGGACATGAGCTCCAGACCCCTTCCCTTTCAACCTCAGGGGACACTTGGCATGGAATCAAGGACAGCTTGATTGGTTTGAATGTCCACATTTGTTCATTCTGCTGATTTCAGGCTCTGCACAGAGAACAGAAGGAGCTGTTGGCTGTGCTGCGGGAGCCCGAGTGAGGCGGCCAGACCTGGGAGCAGAGGGCAGTCAAGGTCAAGGGCCTGTGGCTGGCGTGCTGGCCTGGGATGAGCTGCCTCTGGGAACAGCTGCAGTGGGGCCCTGTCCCTAAGCAGTGCTGGAACTTGCTGGAGGACCAGTCCTGAGGAGTCCCACACCACTGTGCCTTTGGGGCTCCCTCTGGGTTACTCATACTGACATTACCTTCAGAACCAACTGTTTTCTTCTCACATGAAGATCCTCACCAGTCACCCCTCTAGGTGACCCGCCCCCTCAAGCATGTGCATGCCCTGCAGGTCTGCGCCTCCCAGGCCCTGCCTTGGGAATCTGGTTTCAGTCTCCACTGATTGCCCCCTTGCTGGCCAACCCCAGGGCCTTTGCCATGTTCTCCCCACATCCGTAAATAAACTTCCTCCCCACACTATAATCTGAGGATGCTTCCTCTGCCTGGGCCTCTCCTGGGCCAAGACCCCTCCCATGGTCTGCCTCTGGCTGCTGTGGGTCTTGGAGCTGACCTCCACAGCCTCCCGGCAAGGCGGGGCAGTGGGGCTGCATCTGACCACCATGGGCAGGAGGCCCAGAACCCTGTCACAGAGACCGGGACCCCTGGGTTCCCAGAGGCCAGGATCAGCTGCCAGGGGGTATCGCTCTGTCCCACCAGGCCCACCCTTCTCTTTGCCATTTATGTGAATTGTGAGGAAGCCTCCACAGCGATGCTGGCGCTCCCTCCTAGCAGGTGGGCCTCTGGGATCTCGGCGCCGAGTCCTCACTCTTCGCTGCCAGGGCCAGCAGGGCATCGGGGGTTCAGCCAAAGGCAGTTCAGGTGCTTCCTCTTCACCAGAGGGTAAAGGGGGTGGTACGGGTTGGGGGGCTCACACAAACAGGAGAGAGGCTTGATTGGGTCTGTCTGGGACGGCTCAGGGCATCAGGGTGAGACTGAGGCAAAGCGACTCTAGGGCGCAGGAGGGGTATCGGGCTGGGTGTCCTGCCCCTGGGAGGACAAGTGGCTGAGTTGCTAACACTTGCTGACCCTAAGGAGCCTGCAAGGGCAGGAGCAGAATCAGAGGAGCAGGGGCACCAAGGGACTTGCCATTGCCTTGGAGGGGCACAGGAAGGGGCCCCACCGCCATGCCCACCTGATCTGCCCGGTGTGAAGGGCAGGCCTCACACCCTGCCTGATGTTTCTTTGGCTTTTGTCCTTGTGTGCCCCAACCTGTTCTGTCCTGCCTCACAGGCCTCTGCCATAGAGCTGCCCCACACCAGGCCTGCCTTAGTGTCTGCCTGGGGCACAGCCCCTCCGGGTGAACTGGGGCCTGGCCAGGCAATCCCTCCCTGGGGTTTGGCTTCTGCCCAGTGGGGAGAGTAGAAATCAGAGTCCACACAAGAGTGGGACTCAGCTCCACTCGAATCTATTTTAGACCTCTGGGCCACATCCGCTCTCTGCCCCCCTCTGACCTGTCCCGGCTCATCCATTGCAAACTGAAGCTGGGCTGGGTCTCCAAGGGAGAGCGAGGAGGGCCTGGGGGAGAGGGGAGCCTCCTGGGGCCTATGTCCCAGGCCTGGCAGTCTGATTGCAGCTCACCCTCCTCCCTCATTCCCTGGGACTGCCCAGGCAGCCACAGCCCCAACCACGACATCCTTTGGGGTTTGGCTTACAGAGCTTGAGCGGATGACCCCCAAATAGCCCTGGCAGATTCCCCCATGGTCCACCCATGGTCAGATGCCCCTCCCTCCTCGGGCGCAGCTGTGAGAGTATAAACCGTGCTGGAGCTGGAGAAGGAGCTCAGCGGAGTCCCAAGCAGCAGCCCAGCAGCCACTGACAGGCAAACCATGAGGCCCACGGCAGTCCTAGCTCTGCTGGCCCTGGCTGCCCTCTGCCTTGCTGGCCCGGCAGGTGAGTGCCCAGCCCTGCCCTGGCGTCCCTTCTCACAGAGCGACCTGCTGTCCCAGTCCTGCTGCCAGTCTGACCACTGTCCCGCAGGCTCAGTCCTCTTCCCCCGGCCCTGTCCTTGTGAAGGGAAGGGAGGGAGCGGAGGGGAGCTCCAGAGAGGCAGGGAGGGAGAAGCAGGGTTCTAGGGCTGGGCAGGGGTGACCCGGGCTCCTCTCCTTCACAGAGGCAAAGCCCCGCAGCGCCGAGTCCGGCAAAGGCACAGGTAGGCGGTGGTGTGCTGGGGCTGGGTGCCACATCCCCCAGCGGTGCCACTCCCCAGCCTGCCCAGCCTGCCCCTCGGTCCCCTCCCCCTCGTCAGCTCTCGGGAAGCTGGCCTGCTCTCTGCCTTGTCCTCCCAAACTTGGGACCACCTGACCCCTGCCCCTCTGCCCCACAGCCTTCGTGTCCAAGCAGGAGGGCAGCGAGGTGGTCAAGAGACTGCGGCGCTACGTGGACAATGGGCTGGGGTGAGAGGACGTGCTCAGAGCCCTGCCCGCCCCTCAACTTGCTGGGGGAATCTGGAGCCCCGGGTGTGGCGGGAGGAGAAGTGGGCATTTTGGGTGAAGGCTGATGCCACTGTGTTGGGCTCAGAGCCCCAGCCCCCGCCCCAGATCCCCTGGAGCCCAAGAGAGAGGTCTGCGAGATGAACCCCAACTGTGACGAGCTGGCGGACCACATCGGCTTCCAGGATGCCTATCGGCGCTTCTACGGCACAGCCTAGAGCCTGCAGGCCCCGGGCCCCTGCCAGTGCTTCTCCAGGACCTGACCACTTTCCGTCCCCGGCCCTGCCCTCCCTGCCCCGCAAGCGTGGGGTCCCTAGCATCCCAGCTGCTCCAGAATAAACCCCAGAAGAGGACTTGGTGGGGCTGTGATTCTTTCTCCACCCACAGGGTGTTGGGAAGATGGGGGTGGTGAGCGGCTTTTATCTTTTTCAGTCCCAGAAAGTGCTTCCCAAAGTCTACTGCTGATTTATTTATTTGCACCTCATTCCAGAAAGCATTAAAGGCGACTTCCTACAGTCTAACGCAGGGTCTCCCTCTAGCCCAGCAGCCCTCCCCCACTTCAACACACCACGCCACCCACGACTGCCCAGAGCCCAGGCCTGGACGCCCTGAGTGCACGGCTGCGACCACGGCAGACATCTCTGAGGGTAGGGAGAGGCTGGCAGAGGGCGCTGCCTGGTTTGGGGCTGGGGCCCCAGAGGGCCACCTGGCCTGGTTAACAGCATTCAGGGCCAGCGAGGTTAGTCGTGTTAGTTCTTCCTGGGCTGAGATTTCTCTGAGTAGGAGCACCAGAAATGGGACCCAGAGAGGGCTCCATACCTCCCCGTCCTAGCTTCTGACGGGGGCAGCTCCAGCCTGGACACTCGCACCTCCTCAGACCCTCGGCACTTCCCACCCCCATCACGAGACCTCACTGAACCTCCCCCGCTCTGCCCCATACCCCCCACTCCTGCCCCCTCTCATCTCCTCTGCACTCTTCAGGGACTCTGGCTCCAGGCTCAGATGTGCCCCTACCTTCCCCGGGCCCCGGGCCGGGACTCCTCCCCAGCACCAGGCCCAGGCCTCTGCCTCTGTCCAGGGCAGCCTCTGAGATGGGGCCTCACTGTTGCTTGGCCTTTGTGCCCCCTTCCAGCAGGTCCCCCTGCAGCAGGGAACAGGTTCTGGGGGCCCAAAATAAGAAGGCTGTGAAGGCAGCAATGATGAGCAGGTTCCCGGCCACCGCCAAGCCCAGCGTGGCCACTGTGCCCGCCAGGCCCAGGGTGGGTTCCTGTGTGGCCAGCCAGGCTCGGCGAGAGCCCATATCCACCAGCACTGCCTCCAGCTGAAAGTGGGTGCCAAGCACTGCACAGATGTGGAACAGCTGGTGGCTGTGGCCTGTGGGGATGGTGGACCAGTCAGATCAGAGCTGCCTCAACTCACCCTGTGACCCACAGCAAATGACCCCCTCCTCTGGGCCTGCCACCACCCCCCCAAATTGGGAACAAGAAAACCTGGCCCACAGAGGAGTACGTGCGCTAACACACACGTACGAGGGTGTGGGGCTGGGCGATGGACCTAGACTTGAGGAGCCTCTGACTGATACCCAAGAGCCATGTGACCAGGGCTCTTGCTCTGTGCTGGGAAGCTTCTCCCCTTGCCCCTTCCTGGCCCAGCCGGGTGGGGCCAGGCATCCTCTCACCAATGTAGTCAAAGCGTCCCGGTGCCAGTCGCTCAGGCAGGTGGGATGCAAAGAGAAAGCCAGTGAGCATCGCACAGAAGAGGTGGTAGCCGTGACTGGTGCTCAGCGCCTCCTGCCCACAGTTGTGGGTCCTGTCCCAGCACAGTCCCAGCTGATAAAGGAAACGCAGGGCTGGTGGGGAGGGGCTCAGGGAGAGGACACAATGTACCTGGGATGTGGTAAGGAAGTGGAGGGGTGGGTAGAAGGGGCAGGCCCGGAAGCGGGCACTGAGGAGCCAGGACAAGGAAGCAGGCCCTGGGCAGGGGCCCCAGGTACCCTTACCCGATAGAAGAGCGGGAGGTTGTCGAACAGGAAGGGATAGGCGAAGGCCGCAGTGCGGAGGAACTTACTGAGCCCAGGGCTTTCTAGCTCCGGGAACCTGGGACAGGGGAGGGAAAGGCTGGTCACCATGCTCCTGCTGGGTGGGGTCAGCGGAGGGCAGGGGACTTCAGGGCAAGCTGGCATGTCAGTGTGGCTGAGCGGCTAAGATAAAGCCCTTAGACGCACGAGCCCTCTGCAAAGGTCCACTTCTGTAAAATGGGACAAGACACCTGCCTCTTAGGTGGCTGTGCGCATAAAGGAGATTAACTCAGGTATGTGTTGAGCACTGAATCAGGTAGAAAAAAAGTTCTCAATAAATGGCCCCTTTGTTACTAATGGCGTTGGAGGGTAGTGAGGTGCAGACACACCAGCTCTGGTCTCTCAGCCACCCCGGGGTGTCCTGTCTTGTCCCTCCACCTCTGGTCAAGAACCCACCGGGAGTAGCAGGAGAGGCTGGTGCACAGGAAGGAATTGAGTGCAGCGGTGGGCACAAAAAGCTGGTGCAGACGGCTGTGCAGCCAGGAGGCCGGCATGGAGTAGGCGGCATAGGGGAAGGCGCTTCCTGTGGGGAGGTTGGGGGGCGGGAGCTGAGACGGGAAGGGTGGGCTCCAGGGGGAACCCCCTCTTGCCCCACCCGGCCCTGCCCGAGGAGAAATGCGCCGGTTCCCGGCCCCTGCCAGCTGCGCTCACCCAGGCTGTAGAGGCTGAGCGCGCCGTAGTCCAGGAAGTAGCAGATGTGCCGGGCGCGGGGCGACATGGAGCTGAAGGTGTGCGCGCAGCACGATGCGAAGGGGTAGAGGCAGGCCGGCAGCAAGAAGATGAGCAGCGGCCAGTGGTAGGGCTCCGCCCGAAAGCCCGGGCCCCCCGCGAGCGCCAGGAGACGCCACAGGAAGTACCTGCGGCGGGCATGTGCTCAGGCCCGGCCGGCGGAGCCTCGCCACTCCCGCAGCAGCCTGCCGGCTGGGAAGATTCCTGCCCGCCTGAGAACCCCCTTTGAGCTCATGGCCCTGGCCTCCCTCACCAGGTGGGCAGGAAGTGAGTCCAGATGTTGACCGTCTCGTTGGTCATCTGGAAGGAGCTGAGGATACAGTCCAGGGCGGAGCTGGTAGGGCGGCGGTAGCCAGACATGATACCGTCTTCCCAGAATACCTGGGGTGGTGGTGGGCCGGAGAGAGAGGAGGGGAGTCACTGTGCCCCAGCCTTGCCTCAGTGGCCCCCAAACCAGACCAAACACCATCTGAACCCCCTCTTACTACAGGTTCTAAGAGCTAGAATAAGGGGCACAGGGCACCCTTGGGAAGGACACCGGATGGAGGGGCAGTCAGAGTTCTAGGGAGCAGATCACACGTCTGCTCCATACGGGATCAGAGGGCGTCTCACTGGCGTGGGCGGGAGAGGTTAGCCTACATGAGGGACTCCCCCAGCTGCTGAGCAAGGAACCTGCGCCCCAGTTGGTTAGGTGGACAGTGGGGTGTCTGTGGGCGAGCTGGTGGGGTGGAGCCCTCACCCGGGGGACCTGGTGGACTCGAAGGAGTTGGGGCAGCTTGAGACTGAGCATGGTGACCCGGCACCTCTACGCAGACCTAGAGACAAAGTGGAAGATGGGGAATCAGGTACCTGCCGGTCTGCAGGCCTCTTCTCACCCAGGACTGGTCTGCCTCAGCCTGGACTCCCCCTTGGAAGGCTGCCTCAGTAACCTTGGATCCAGGCTCCTAAGCCTGAATCTCTACCTCTGAATCCCCTCTCATGGGGCTTCCCTAGTGGCGCAAGATGCCGCAGCCTCTGCAGCACGAGTTCAATCCCCCGACCTGCCAGGGAGAAACCCACATGGCGCAGCAGATCTCTCCTGACTTGCCCGCTGCTCCCCTCAGCAGGGTACTTCGGTCAGTCTGCCTGTTCTGCTCCCCACTCTGTCTCTGGTGAATCCTCTCACCCCCCGCACCTCTGGCCGGTACAGGTCTGGGGCTCTTGTATGCATAAAATAAAAATAACTTTTTTTTTTTTCTTTTTAAAAAAGAATCCTGACTCATGGAGGTCAGTGCAGAAAGCCCATGCACTCCCTTCACCCCAGGAAGCCCCTTGGCCCATAGTGCCGGGGCTTGAGCACGGAAAACCCACAGGGCTCACGGGGAGTTCCTGGAGGCCACCAGCAGAGCAACGAATAGGCTTTTTTTCTGATGACTATACATGTGCCTCTGGAGCACTGTGGGTCCCTGTCCCTCCTGAGCCCTGCGCCCCTCAGCCCCAGACCTGTGTGCTGACTCCGGGTGGCCTTGGCTCTGCTGGCCCGCCAGTCTCGGGCTGCCTCTCCCAGGCACATTCCTTGGCACAAGTGGAGGGGCTGGGCCTGCTAGGCGGGGAACTGCCCCAGGAATAGAACACTCCCCCACCTTCCCAGGCCAAAACTTTCCAGCAATTCTACAGCCTAGGCCCACCCCTCTTCCTGCCCCCAAGGCTGGCCCATCTGTGTTGCACGTTCTCGGCAGGCTGTCGGTTCCCCAAGCCTTTGCTCAGTCAAGTTTGAGGGTCTTTGCTGGGTGCTGGGACCCTGGCAGACCTAGCCCCAGCCCCTATACCAGGCTGAGCTTGTAAGACAGGTGAGGCTTCCCAGGGTATCCCCTGCCCCCCCAGGAGCAGATGGGAGTGGTCTGACCTGGGTTACTAGGGGAGAAGTGGGAGGTGCGGGGGAAGATGCCAGGCCCCACCCCAGCAGAGAACTTTCCCTTAATAGTGAGGTACAGGTCTCCGGAAGGGTGTGCTGTAGCCATGGAAATGAGGGGGTGACTCTGGCTCCAGAAGAGTTGTGAAGGACCCAGGTGGGCTTCCTTACCCAGAGCTTGACAGGTGCTCCAAAGCTGGAGGGTCAGCAGGCCTGGGGCTCCAGGAGCAGGCGGAGTCCCAGGTTCCTGCCAGCCAGGCCGATGGCAGGGAGAGGAGAGTGGCGGCAGGCGGGCCAGGCCTGGGCGGGGAGTGGGAGACAAAGGGGAGCTAGGAACAATCCCAGCCTTGTCCAGCCTCCAGGGAGCAGAACGGGGTGGCCCAGCCCATTAGCAGGCAGCTCACTCGGCCTCCTGCACACAGCCGGCCCCTCCAGCCTGACCCAACCCCACTGAGCCCAGACTGGCCAGAACAGGCAGGCCAAGCCAGGATGCCGCCAGGGTGTTCAGAGCCAACCTCAGAGGAGCCGGATTCTCCCAGGAGACGGTTTTGCCTTGGGCTGGACAGAGAAATCCAAATCCCGCCAGACTGGATTTCAGAAGCCACCTCTCACCGTGCTCACTGCCTCTTAGCGCCTGGTGCTGGGCAGAGTCCAGAACAGATGCCTTTAGTAAATGGCATTTGGTAAGTGCCTTTGGTTCAAGCACAGGGATTTACCAGGCATGTTTACTCCCCGGACACTGATGGTGCCAGTCTCTGCAGGACGACAGGAATTTAGGGGTCTGAGACTAGTTTCAAGGCTCATCCTGTCCGTGAGGACGTTTCTCCAGTTCCGAGGACCCAACTGGAGACAGCAAACCCCCAGGCAGCACTGTTGCCTTCGAGTTTGTCCGCCGCTCACCCTTTGGAAGGCACCCTCTCAGCATGCAGGCGGAATAAAGGTAACAACGTCCACCACACAACTCTCTCTGGGGCTTCTTGCCTTCATGAGTCCACGTCAAAGAAACCTTCCCAAATAACTGCCAATGTCCCAACAAAACTGTACAAAAAGGCACCAGGAGAGAGACATGGGCTTTGGCGGGGGGAATCTTTATTAAATCTCTGCCAGGGACTAGGAGTGGGGGTCATGACCCACTCGCCCCAGTTTGTCCCAGACTTGCTGTCTTAGAGGAAGGAGGCAGGGAGCCTGCTCTCCCCTGAGAACAGCTTGGGAAGCTAGGCCAGCTCTGGGGTAGGGGACAGCAGAGCTGAGACGCCCCCAACCCGAGCTATACTTCACACTGATGGGAGGGGCCGACTGTCCTGCCCAAAGCCTCCCACACGCGGACCTGCTCTCGCGGCTCCATTCAGTGCCCTGAACTATTCATGATCTCTGCTCCCACAATTCACATTGGCACTCCAAAAGCTAGCCCCATGCTCAGCCCTGCCAGGCCTTCAGTCCTGGGGAGGGCAAAAGTGGACAAGTTCATCAGGACAGAGGGCTCCTGTCTGGGCAGCTTCAAGGGGCCTCTCCTTTCTGCCACCTACACATACGCAGGTGCCTCCCTAGTGAGCAAGGGGGTGGCACCTTCAAACAGCACCCCCTTTCCTCTTACTGGCATCCCACTTTCCCCGCATAGCAGCCAAGAGCACAAAGCACGGTGATTGTGGGGCCGGTGGGCAAGGAATCCTCACTGGCATCAGGCCAGACTGCCTGCAGCCATGGGTGGGGGCCTGCTCCCTTCCCTGGAAGCCGACAGAGGGGCACAAAAAGCAGAAGGGGCAAGTGGGTGTGCAGCCCCTGCAAGAGCAGGAGGGGATGCAAGCCCGGGCCCTACTATCATGCAGGCAGCTCCAAGCCGCTCCAGGTCCCTCTTCTCTTAGTCCCCAGGACTCCAGAGCTGCCCGACCTCCGCAAAGGGAGATGAGAAGAGGATGGGTGGTCCTGGAGGAAGGGAAGGGTGTGCAGAGAACCACCTGGACACCTGCTATTACCTCACTTTTCCCCCAAGGCTTGTAGGCCCCAAACTCCCGGCCCCACCCACCCTGCACCCTTTCTGCTGTCCCTTCCCCTGGTGGTCCAGGAACCATTCCAATGAAACACAGACAACCATGCCTACTACCCGCCCCTGGGGACAGCAGGGGAGCTGAGGTGGGAAGGCTGGCTAAGGGCCCTCAGGCTCTCCTGCTCCAAGCACTTTCCTCACTTTCCTCACATCGTCTTGGCAACAGGGGGACCCCGCCCTCCCAGTCGGCTCCTGGGCCCTCCCTGCAGCCTCTGCACAGCTGGGCTTCCTTCCTGTGTGCGTGCGTGAGTCTGCATGTGGTGGGGTGACTACAGGTGGTGGTCCTGGCTGCCAGGGAGGGCAGGAGAGATCTGGAGTCAGCCCCACTGCAGGGCCTAGGGGTCAGTCTCAACCAATCTCCTTCCACTGCTTGTAGAAGTCCAGAACATTCTTGATGTCCACACTGGCGTGTGCAGCGGCTTGCAAAGCTGCCTGTGGAGGGGGAAAAGAGGACCTGACCTGAATCTATGGGACAAGACACATACGGGCTGAGGAGGGAGTCTAATCCCACACCTTTCCCCATCCCACCTGACCCCCTAACCCACCTGCATAGGGCCTGACAGTGCGCTCGGGTTGTCCAGTTGGAGACCTGTGACGATGGTCACCATGCCACTTGGGTCCTCCTCACCCGCCCCCTGGGCCAGAGTCAGCTGTTTGCAGCTGTCCAGAATCTTATAGAGAGTCCTGGTGGAGAGGAGGAGGGCAGTGGGCAAGAGTCAGCATTAGTCCAGCCTGCACAGTAGTGTCTGCAGGGCACAGGGGAAGCTGAGCAGGGGGACGACACCACAGAGAACCACGCGCAGCCAGAGTCAGCCTGCAGATGTGTTCCTGGGTGGACAAAGATGCACTGAGCGAAGATGGAGCCCAGGCAGCTCAGAGCAAGGGTGACTCCTCCAAGGTGAAACCTGCAAGAGGCCCAGCTGGTCCTGCCGCCTGTGAATGCCTGCCTGCCCTGCTCCCCAGGGCGTGCATGGAGCAGCACGGCAGGCACCTGTGTGAGGTGCGAGGGCAAAACTGGACCTTACCAGGCATTTGCATCCTGCCTCTTCAGCTTATGGCGCTCAAAGCTCTTTCCCACCTCTTTCTGGCAGCGAATGTACCTGCAAAGGAGACGACAGAGTGGAGCTGGGGGCAGAGGAGAGGGAGGGCACCTCATATGAAACAGCCCTTTGTGGCACAGGAGGCCTGGTTTTATGGGACGAGGTAGGGGATTTTCTCCCAGCTCATCTACTTGGAGCCATTTTGAAGTGGCTTCCTGGCTGGGGAGCTCAGCTCAGTTTTCCTCCTGATAACATCAGTTCTTTGGTTCCTCCCGGGGGAGGACTAGGGAGGGGAGAAGCAACAGATGCTTTTCAAGTCAGGGCTTCTGGAGACAAAGTCCAAACAAGCAGGCTTTGTGTAGCTTCCTGCCTGTCCTGGGGTGGGCCGGCTAGCAGGGTGTGGGGGAGCTCTCTCCCTCCTCCCACACCCACTGCCTAGTCCTCTTCCGGCCCCAAAAGCAGGAAGGGCGGGCCTGTGTGGGGCTGAGCATCTACATGCTACATCTAGTTGTGCCTGGATGGCTTCAATGGGAGGGCCCAGGCAGCCCTGCCCTGGTAAACCATCCTGGTAACTGGACTGCCAGCCCCAACCCCAATGCAGGAGGAACTCCTGCCACACAGCCCAGACTGGAGTTGGTGGGTCTGCTCCCCTTGCTTTGGTGACACCGATCTTATGTCTGCCCCAGAGGCTCCATGGACAGCAGGTCAGTGCTCCCGCACGGGCTCCTGTGATCACCCCCTATTTCAGCACTGAGGATCCTGACTTCTAATTATGTCTTTAGTCTCTCTTTCCAAGCAGTGAGCAAACAGAGCAGGGACTGGTGAGTTTCTTAGCCACAGGGACTAAGGCACACATACGCACTGCTGTCTGTGAGATGAACAGGCTCAGTACAGGTTCAGCCAGGCTTGTACTCACCTATTTCCTTTCTTAAACTCTGCCTCCAGGTATCGGATCCCATCCCGGGCGCCTGGGTGCTCCTTCTTCAGCAAATCCAGGCCATCAATCACTGGTGGGCAAGGAGGAGACAGGTCAGTGTAGAAAGCTGTGACAGGGGCTCCAGGGAAAGTGCTCCTTCTGTTCTTTAAAAGAACGATATTCTGCCAGCAGCACACCTGGCAGCTTACCAAGTGCTTTCACTTAGATTTTCTCAACTGTCTTATGAGTCAGGGTGTAACAGATTGTTATGCCTGCTTCACAGATGAAGTAACTGAGGTTCAGAGAGGTGGAGGATTTGACTAAGACCACCATGTGAAAACAGCCCAAATAAGGATCTCTATTAGCAACCCTGTCTCTGCTACCTCCCCAATATGCTCACCTGTCCTTGGGATGATGACAATGAAGCGGCCACTGGTAGCAAGCTGGCGGATGACAGGGAGGTGGTGGCAGAGGGCCTGGGTGTCAGGGACGAGGTATGGAGACATTGCTGACTGGGCCTTGGGCTGCTGCAGGCTCCCCTCCAGTTGAGAGACCTCAAGCTGGTGAGAGAAGGCAGAGTGGGGGAGCCATGTGGGGCCCCTGCTGCTTAAGCAGGGGGAGCAGAATGGCACTCAGGTTGGCTCTCACAGGGTTCCTCCTGCTGCCAAAAGGGACAGGGACTCCTACTGATGGCCTTGGAGGACAAATAGACAGAAACCAGGGTTAAGTAAAGAGAAAGAAATTTAAGTGATGGGAGAAGGGGGCACAATTCTGAGTGAGAAATGAGCACTACGAGGGCAATCCAGGAGGCCACAGCAGAACAGACAGCGTGCCCTGGCCAGAGAGGTAGGACTCTGCCAGCAGGGCAAGCAAAAGCAGAAGTACTGGGCCCTGATTTCCTACCTGAAGCCGTAGCTGAGCCATGTCTCTCATTAGCCTGTTCCGTCGAGCTTCTTCCTGGGCCTAGGAGGGAAAAATCAAGTGCTAAGCTTGGGCAGAGGAACTGGTGCTATATTCCTTTCTCCTGCCATCAGAGGGCCAAGAGGAATTTGTGGGGTTTGAAATAGATACAATCTCACATAAAGTCCCCTCATCATTCCTGCTAAACGAAGGGGAGGGAACGCACAAGATCAAAAAATGTTCCTCTGGGGCCTCCCAGGTGGCGCAGCGGTTGAGCGCTGGGTTGCGAAGCTGCCCGCAGCCTCTGCGGCGCCGGTTCGATCCCCGGCTGCTCCCCGGCCACCCGAGGAGGGTCCCACATGGCGCGCAGACCTCTCCTGCCGCCCGCTGTTCCCCTCAGCAGTGTACTTCGGTCCTTCTGCCTGCTCTGCTCCCCGCTCTGGCTCTGGTGAATTCTCTCCCCCTCCCGCGCTTCTGACTGTACCCAGTGCATGTATAAACAAAACAAAACAAAACAAACAAACAAATAATAAATAAATAAAAATACCTCTATAAAAATTAAAAAAAAAAAAAAATGTTCCTCTGGTGCAATCTGAACAACTTCCACTGCCAGCTCACTGCTGCTCTGCACTCCAGGCAGCCCAGGAGAGGGAGGGAGCAACCATGAACCCACACCACGCAGGAGCACCTGGTTGTGCCTCGGGATGTACGATGTGCTCCTTGCTCTTCCCAGGCCATTACGCCCAAGGGGAGACCCATCCAAGAACCCCTTCGCCTTCTGTCACTATTGACTTGCCAACTTCTCCCATATCTACAGCTTCAATCCAGATCTGACCGCCTGACAGCCCACCTGCTCTCAGAACCTGTTTCTCTTCCTCTGGGATCTCCAACTTGGTAAAAAAATTGTCTGCCCCAGTCAGAAAGCTCAGCTGGCTCTAACTTTTCCTTCTCTCAGCCCCTTAAGTTAGCTTTCCACTTCTGTCAATCCTTCCTCCTCCCTCTACCTCCACCACACAACTGTAAGTCTAAGCCAACATCTCCCTTCTTGATTATTATAACCATATCCTAACTGGTCTCTGCCTCTAACCTGAACCATTTTCTCTGCCTGCAGCCAAGGCAGTCTTTCAGGACTCACATAATGTCCACTATGGCCCTGATTCAAAAGACTTTGAGAGTTTTCCTTTGTCTTCTGGAGGAAGTCCAAATTCCGTAATACAATCTAAAAGATGAGGTTAACAATGGGAACTTGCCCTAAGAGATATGGGGAGCCGCTGAAGGCTCTTTGATGAGCAACATAGCATCATCAGAGTGGTGCTTTAAAATATTCATCTGGGGCCTCCCGGGTGGCGCAGCGGTTGAGCGCTGGGTTGCGAAGCTGCCCGCGGCCTCTGCGGCGCCGATTCAATCCCCGGCTGCTCCCCGGCCACCTGAGGAGGGTCCCACATGGCGCGCAGACCTCTCCTGCCACCCGCTGCTCCCCTCAGCAGTGTACCTCGGTCCTTCTGCCTGCTCTGCTCCCTGCTCTGGCTCTGGTGAATTCTCTCACCCTCCCGTGCTTCTGACTGTACCCAGTGCATGTATGAACAAGCAAAACAAACAAACAAATAAGTAAATAAATAAAACATGCCTCTATTAAAAATAAATAAATAAATAAAATATTCATCTGGAATGTATCATCTCATTCTGATCACGAGGCGACAACAAAGGCAAATTGAGAGGCACCCCACAATATGATTAAAACTGTTCAGAAGCATCAAGGTCACGAAGGGCAGGAAAAGACAGAATGGAGGAGACTAAGGAGACATGACAACCAATATAGCATTGTATGGGATCCTGGAAGAGAAAATAGATATCTGTGGGCAAACTAGAGAAATCTGGATGGATTATACCTAATGGGATTGCTCCCATCCTGATTTTTTAGTTTTGATCATCATACTAGTTTCGCGTGTCTACAGTACCCCTGCAGAGTCCTGCACAACAGAGAACAATTCTGCCCCGAATGCCAAAGGTATCCCCAGGGAGAAACTGGTAGAAGGACAGAGGGGAGGCAGAAGACCAGCACCTCAGCGGGCATGTTCCCATAGGCCCTGCCAGCAGGCTGTAAGACAACTTCCCCTCTTCACCCTGCAGAAATCAATGCCAGGAATCTTACTTTCAGGCTATAATTGGAATTGTGACGCCCTATGTTCCAAAGAAAGGATGTGGGTGCCTAGTATCCCCCTCCCCCCACTCCACCACTGCAGGTAGGAGCTGTCTGGCTCAGGAGGGGGACTGCTGCGCTAGCTGTGCTCCAGGGTAACCAGTCTAGGTCAGCATTTTCCCCGGAGAAAACCTGGGTCCCTATACCAGGCAGATGCAGGAGTCCCAGAAAAGTAGAAGCAGCAACCCTGGTGACCACCCTTTCCCCAGACCCCGCCCCAACCTACAGAGATGCCCAGCCTCTACAGCAAGAGCCTGGTCTGTCTGGCCCCACAGCCCTGGTTGCCTGTGGACAGCACCTCTTCTGTTGTTCTGTGCTGTCTTGTCTGTGGAATGAGGATGTAAACACCCCCTCAAGGGCTGCTACAAGGGTTATGTGAGAGGTCACATGCAAATCAGGCTTTTGATAGAAAGCTCTTAATAAATGACAGGTGATGGCAATATGATGACAATACTGCTGCTACTAGGGGACAAACCCCTTGGGACTAGACTGTGACTCAGGCAGAGCGGGACGCAGCCCCAGAGAGCATCCCGCCTGTGTCCAGCTTGGCGTGTGATGTTCACACCACATGAAAGGGGCTTTCAGGCACCCGCCCCAGGAATCCTGGGAACTTCGGGCTAGAGGAAATGCCTGCAAAAATTCTTTAACATTTTTGGAAACTGTGTAACTTCCCTATGATTATTTTTGAAACTCCCTGTGTTTTCCCCTATGGAACAGTAAGGAAAGCCTTAACACAAAAGGTTTGTTTTTAAGAAGTGGTGTTTCAGTGAGCCCGATGGGAGCAGAGCGGACAGGGAAGGGCAGGCCTGACTCACCATGCGGAACTGAGCCTGGGCCTGCTGCAGCAGGCTCTCCTGCTCAGACTGAGCAATGCTGACGAAGATGCCGACCTCAGGGTTGAACTGCAGGATGCTGCCTTGCAGGCGGGCAACGAAGTGGCCAAAGCTGCGAATGCAGCAGATGCGTACGACCGACTGTGAGGAGACACCGGAGGTGGCTCAGCTGAGCGGGGCCATCGAGCCTTCCCGCCCATCCTGGCCCCCTCCTTCCTATGCCAACCACCCCAAGGGCTGCTTGGAAAGGAGGTATAGGATGGGGAAGAGGAGCTCCAGAGCTAGAGTCTCTAGCTGCCAGAAAGAGGGTAAGCAAGTTGGGCAGGGGACTCCCCAAAGGATCAGAGAACCAGGACTCAGGGCTGAGAAAAAAGAACAGGCCCAAGATGAAGGAAGGGGATGTGGGTGCTAATGCCATAGTTCTCCTCTGGGTCAGTAAAATGAGGAACTGGTCAAAAATGGAACCAGGGCCCCCCTGGTGGCGCAACACATTAAGATGCAACCTATGAAGTTATCTGCAGCCACTGCAGTATGAGTTCAATCTCCAGCCAGGGACCTACCCACATGGTGCACCGGACCTTTCCTGACTAGACCGCTGCTCCTCTCAGCAGTGTACTTTGGTCAATCTGCCTCTTCTGCTCCCCACTCTGTCTATAGTGAATCCTCTCATCTCCCACACCTCTGGCCTGTACCCCAGTTCTTATATGCCTAGCTAAAATAAATCTTAAAAAACAAAAAAACAAACAAAAAAACAGAACTAGATCAACACCTCCCAACTTTCTTATCCAGAGGCCTCAAATAAAGTCGGGGCCTACCTGGTGGCACGGAGGGTTGAGCGCCGTGCTGTGAAGCTGTCCGCAGCCTTTGCAGTGCAAGTTTGATTCCTAGCTGGCCGGGGAGCAACCCACATGGCCCAGCAGACCTCTCCTGTCTCGCCTGCTGCTCCCCTCAGCAGTCTTTGGTCTGTCTGCCTGTTCTGCTTCTCGCTCTGTCTCTGGTGAATTCTCTCACCCTCCCGCGCCTCAGACTGTACCCCAGTTCTTGTATAAATAAATCTTAATAAAAAATAAAAATAAAATAAAAAAGACTAAAGTCAAGCTACTCTGGCTGGAGAAACCAAGGCGTGCATGTTGGGGAGGGGGCAGGGAGGCCTGTCTGCCCTCTGCTGCCCCCAGATGGCCCACAAGACAACACAGATTCAACGGTGAAAGTCTCTGGACTTAATTAAGTGAGCAGCACATGCTCTTCCACCTCTTTCTCATTGTCTGACATTCAGCTCAGCGGCTGGGCCCAGAGTAGAAAAAAAGACTGATGAAGATCTCAAATCCCTAATAATTCACTTATGTTTTCCTCCACAAAATGTTAAGGGGAGGGAGGCTTGTTCTATAACAGCAGACCTGTGAAGGCCTTGTTGCCCAAGGAAGATAACAGCACAAATGCTTACTGACCAAAGGACTCATAAGCTGCAGCCCGGAGCCCTGGGTCTGACTAGCACATGGACTCATGGCCTGAGAAAGGACAGCCTCACCTCCTCTAAGGTGCTGAGCAGGGGCCGATCTGTGTCAAAGTTAAAGCGCCTGTGGGCAGCCCGGAGGGGTGGCAGGTTACGAAGTGCCATGTCCTCTGGAAGCAGCAAACCAGAGGGCAGGTCAGGCAGTTCACAACCGTCCAGAAGATCTTGGACCTCAGGACACAGGGCCAGGCCTGGGAAGAAAAAGGACACATGAGACCACCTACACGTGAGCGCACCAGTCAGTGATGCAGCCCTAACCCTCTGGGAATTCCCAGGAGAATGGGACAAGACAGAAAGTGAGAGAGTGGGGAAGGAAGGAGAAAGATATTCAGGGCCAGCTCCCAGCGCTCAGGGAGAGCAGTGCTGAGGGATTAGCGGAGCAGAGCAGGGGAGGAGAATAGGGGCAGCCCAGCATGGGAGGCTGCCTGACAACAGGCTACTCCGTCAGGGCAGACATGAGAATAGGGGCTCCGGTGGGAGGGGCAGGGAAGTGAAGAGCTTTTGATAAGTCCTGGAGGTATAGGGTGTTTCCAGCTTGAAGGTGGATGAGGAATGAGCCAAACTGATGAGCTCTGGAGGTCAAAGTCAATTTTCAATGACCAGGGCGTCAGTGCGACACCAGAGACTGGGCTTGGCTTCCAGGCTCCTTTATCCCTGCTTCCACCCACCCAGTGCCTTCTCCAGGGAACACACACCCTGGCACACCAGGCCACCTGTCCACAGAGGGGCAGTGTTGGGTGGGAAACTGGAGAAACCAAGACCACAATGACGGCTATGTGACAGGAGGCTGGCCACCGAATCCCATTAACCTCCTTACCCCAAGGGTCAGGTTACCAGGAAGGGGGGATGGGTTCAGAGGGCCAATGAGGGAGAGTGGACAGGAGGCCAGTGCCAGGGACTCACTCACCAGACTCTTGGAGTTCGCCAGCAGCTGGCAAAAGATTCAGCAACACAGACAGGCGGTTCCACAGACTTTGAGAGCTCTGGGGGAGAGAAAGGAGGCCTTCAGCTGGGGCAGAATGGGGGGAGGAGGAGCAGCAAGCGAGAAAAATACTAGGCTTGGGGGGCTCTGGTCTCAGTCCTACAAGGATCCGCTGGAGAAAGGAACAAAAAAGGCCCAGGAGCTTGTGGAGGAGTTAGAAAATGCGGAGCTGGTCTCACAAGGAATGAAGAAGAGGGCCCATGGAGGTGGGCCATCTGACTATCAGCCTCACTACACTGAAGGTATGACAGTACAGGAAAGGTATTTTGGATCTTGGTAGCAGGAAAAGTTAGCACACTGGCGGAGTCGTCTCCCTGTCCAGCGCGTGTCTTTCCTTTCAGCCCTCATGTGCCCACCTCTATCACACCTTCTCCCCTAAGGACCAACGACTGACTACCTCTCACCAGACAGAACACAGCAAACACAAAAAGGGTATGCTTCACCCAGACCCAAGTGCTTCTCTCTAGGGAGTCTAGGCAAGAAGGCAGAGAGAAAAGGGTCTTTCACAGAAGGGCAGATGCAGCTGTAACAAAGTAACACTAATAAAAGCCTCGGAACTAGAGGAACCAAGTTGAGACTCAGAACCTAAGAAGGCTGCTGCTGCTGCCCTGCCCAGCCTCCAGGGCAGCCAGTCCAGACACCTCAAGATCCATGCAGGGCGCTCCTTCAGCTGTTCCCCTGCTTAGAACACCTGCACACCCTGTCTAGTTTCCTAGAGCCCATCTCTCCGTCACTACTCAGTGCTTTCTCCCCTCTCAAGACTCTTGTATTTACTTACTAAGTTTAGCCCCGGTCACATACTTTCACCAACATTACCCGTAACGGCAGGGTTTATGCCTCATTGGGTCTCAAAGCAGAATAAGCAGCTCTTTCACTTTCCCAATCCACAAAATTTATATCCCAGCCCAGCCACAGGCTCCTTGAGGGCAAACACCACACTTACTCCTTCTACAAAAAGCATAAGGGCCCTACAGAGGAATAATGACTATAACTGTTCTTAATCAGACTATCTGGGGGCTTTCCAGGCCCCATCTGGCTGACCCTCACCCCCAGCACCACGAAACCTGACAGAGCAGTGACTTACCTGCGCACACACGATGATGAGGTCAGGGTTGGTCCGCAGCCAGTCCAGGAAAACTTTCACTGCGGGAAGCAGCCCTTCAGCCATCAGGACTTGCAGCTTCTCCTGGACACTGCGCTCATTCCGGCAAGAGCGCCCACTGGACTCGCTCCCTTCCGACTCTGAGCCTTCCTCAGAGGCTGGAGTGTTTGAGAGAGAACTGGGATGAGTAGGTATACAGAACAGGTTTCAGCTCTGTGTGTGTGTGGGGGGGGGGCACACACCAAAATGGTCTGAAGAATTCTGATATGAAAAGTGGAGAATTCATTTTTAGACCCCTGCCTGAATTTTCAAAGCCCACTAACTGGATGCTTTAAAGCCAAGAGCCTTGGGCCTCCCTGGTAGCACAGGGGTTAAAGAGCGCTATCAAGCTATCGCCAGCCACTGCAGCACGAGTTTCATTCCCCAGCCTGCCAGGGAGGTGACCCACACGGCACAGCAGACCTCTCCTGCCTCGCCTGCTGCTCCCCTCAGCAGTGTATTTCAGTCAGTCTGCCTGTTCTGTTCCCCACTCTGTCTCTGGTGAATCCTCTCACCCTCCCCCCACCTCTGGCCTGTACCCCAGCTCTTGTATGCATAAATAAATCAATCTTAAAAAAAAAAAAAAAGCCAAGAGCCTGATGTCATTTAAAAATTTGATTTTTCCAGACTCAAGTTGTGAGGCTGTTTATAGCAAATCAACTCAGCCAATGTTCATGAACAGCCTAGTTGTACCAGCAGCCAGAAGGGAGCTAGCAGTAAGAGAGGGAAGACAGGGACGCACATAAAGGAAGTGCTTCCAACTCCCAGCTCTTCAGCACTGCAGGTTAGTGCTGGTCACTGTATCTTTGTGCATCAACTTCCTCATCTCTTTTATTCATCCAATATTTCCCAAGTTCCACCCATGTACCAGGCACTGTGTTAGGGACTGAAAGCACTGCGATAGACAAAATACAGGCTGTCCTGACAAGCTGTCCTGGCCACAAGAGGCTCACAGTCTAGTTGGAGAAACAGACAAGTCAACAAACAACTTCACTTGAAGGAAAGGGTTGGAGGCTATGGTGATACAAGTTACAGGAGCCCTCAGGATGGAAATCTAATCTAGTATTGAAGTCCCACACCAAGTAACTTAGAAGCTAACATCTAGGGAAGAAGAATGAACCAGTGTGGGGCCTCCTTGGTGGCACAGGGATTAAAGACAGTGCTAACAGGTTATTGCCAGCCACTGCAGCATAAGTTCGATCCCTGGCCAGCCACGGAGCTACCCACATGGCGCAGCAGACCTCTCCTGCCTCTCCCGCTGCTCCCCTCAGCTGCGTATTTCAGTAGATACATCTGTTCTGCTCCTCACTCTCTGGCAAATCCTCTCACCCCCTGCACCTCTGCTTTACATCCCAGTTCTTGTATGCATAAATAAATTAAAAAAAAAAAAAAAATAGGGCCTCCCCCGTGGCACAGTGGTTGAGCGCTGGGTTGCGAAGCTGTCAGCAGCCTCTGCAGCGCCAGTTCGATCCCTGGCTGCTCCCCAGCCACCAGAGGAGAGTCCCGCATGGCACGCAGACCTCTCCTGCCGCCCGCTGCTCCCCTCAGCAGTGTACTTCAGTCCTTCTGCCTGCTCTGCTTCCCGCTCTGGCTCTGGTGAATTCTCTCACCCTCCCGCGCTTCTGACTATACCCAGTGCTTGTATATAAATAAATAAATAAATAAATAAATAAATAAATAAATAAATCTTAAAAAAACAAACAAACAAAAAACCAAGCCAGTGACAGCCTGAGGGCAGAGAGCATGGTCCAGAACTAAAGAGCAGCAAGGACAGAAGCATAGAGGTTAAAGGAAAACACTGAGACTAAGCTAACTCTTCCACCACAAGACTGCTCTGAGAGTTCAACATGCCAATACCCGTGGAGCCCAGTTTAATGCTTGCTAGAGGTGGCGCAACAAATGTTGGCTGCCCATGAAGCTCCCTTTGCAAACAACCCCCTCAGGTGACAAATCTCACTCTAATCTACCTGCCTCTATGGGTGCTATTTTTTCTAGCTTCTGGGACCCCTAGCAGGACCTGGGAGAGCACCAGGAGAGGAAGCTGCAGCCACTGCTGTTTGCAAGGAGGAAAGCCCTGAACACACAGGGCAAGGTGGTGAGGGTGAAGAGTAAGACCACAAAATGGGTTGAGTTGGCATTGAGCGAATGAGGAGAGGGCAGTCTCAGGAAAAAACTCCAGGCCAGCATAGGCAGAAGCAAAAGTAAGGCAGCGAGGGTGGAGTAGGTGCTTGCAGAGAGAGGAAAGTGGCAGCTCTCAGGTGAGTGGCCACAGCATGGAGGGTGTGAGCCAGGCCAGGATGAGGAAGAGGCCCAGATACCTGGCTCTGAGGGTTTGTCCACATCCCCATTGACACAGGGCCTTTGGCCATCCAAGGTGTGCGGGTCGGTGCTGGGCTGGAGGAGCAAGTTGCTGAAGGTGGGGGCCAGTCGAAAACAGCGTTTGGTTTGAAACATCTGGGTGGACATGGCTTGCAGATTGCTGGCAAGGCTGGCCTCATTGGGGGCCAGTGGGCCATTGAGGGCCTCAGGAGCCTCTGATTTGACCCGAGAAGGTTCCAGGGCTGGGGACCGTGTCCCCTCTTCATCTTCCATATCTTCTAGGTCTGAACGGGACTCTTGGCTGTTCATTTCCGAGTCTGTCTCGGCATCAAAGGCCGTCCCCCCACCTTCAAGACTCTTGTCGGAAGCACTGTCCGAGCCCTCGCTGGCCCGGGCTGAGTCATGGCTCGAGTCCGATTCGAAGCCTTCACTCAGGTCACTGTCATCACCAGCTTTGGGTGGGTGACGGCGGCGGCGGAGGCAAGAGAGGCGGGAGAACTTCCGGCTCTTTCTGACCTCACCTGTTTGAGGGGCTGTGGGAGGAGGCTCAGGATCGGGCTCCTCCTTCTCTAAGGGTTCCTTGGACTCCGGTTCATCTGTGGAAAGAGGACAGGTCAGGAGGGGCCTAGAGACAAACTGGGGCAACTGGAACTGGAAGGCGGTACACTTCAACATCACCTCCTCTGCCACACTTGTGCTATCCCCACCCCCTCACCTTTCCACAGTCACAATCCCCCCAGTCTTGCACCTGTGCCATCGCTCTGGAACGCCGGAACAGGGTTCTCACCCTCTTCTAGCTCTGACTGCAGCCGTATGTTGACATGGTTGACAAGATGGGAGAAGAGGGCCAGGGTGAAGGCAATGGCTGCACTGTACTGCTTGGAGCCTAAAGTCAGAAAAGGCTGACATTAGTAGTCCAGGACCCTGACCATCAATTTCAACCCTATCCCACCTATTCTCAACCTTACCAAGGATCCAGATACCTCTCAAAGCTTCTCCTAAGGTAAAAAAAGCATTTCTCAGGTCTCTGCACTATTACCTGAAATATGTCAGCCTACCCATGCTCCCTCAGGTAAGCATATCCTCTTGTCCTGTCTCACCTTCCTTGATTAATGCACCTACACACGCAGTCCTGCCACTCCTTGCTCCACGTACATATCTGCTAGAAAAGTCCCAGTACTGCCTATTTGTCCCTAACAGCAAGGTCTGAATTTTGTCTGGATCATGAGCTATGTACCCCCTTAGCAGTATAGTTCAGTAGTTTTGCCTATTCTGCTCCCCACTCTGTCTCTGGTGAATCCTTTCACGCCCAGCAACTCTGGCCTTCACCTTAATTCTTGTATGCATAAATGAAAATAAATCTTAAAAATTAAAAAAAAAGGGCAGTGAGTATCCCAGAAGCCAGACTGTGAGAAAAGAGGGATAGAGGGAGCATTACCTGCTCTCTTCAAACTATGCACACCCATAAGGCAGATGATGATCATCTGAAAGATGAGAAGGTCTGGGAGGAAAGCATATCCACTCTCATACTCCTCCTCATCCTCACTGGCCAGGCTGAGGTTGGGTGAGGAGGGCAGGTAGAAAAGACAGAGGTTGAAATCCTCCAGGACTGACTGGCAAAGTGATGTCAGCTCTGAGTCCACGGAGCTATGGGAGGGGAACAACAGGTTAGTGATGGGAGCTGGGGCAGGTGAACAGTTGGGACACCTGCAGGGGGGACTCCAGAGGAGCAGCGGGGACTCAGTGCTAGACTGATCTCCAAAGCAGACAAAACAGCATGGAAGTGCAGATACTTCATGTGGAAGGGACATGGGTGGAATTCCCATTCAGCTACTCCTTCAATTTCTATTAAGTGCCTACTTTGTGCCAGAGTGAGCTGCTCAGAAAGATAGGCACAGAACCCTTGGGCAGTCAGGGAAGCCAAGAAAGGACTAACTAGCTACAGAATTTCCAACTGACAGGCAGAGTTCAACAGCTAGTCCCTACCATTCAAATCCCCTCTGTAAAAGAGCCATCCTGGATGCGGTTCTTACACTCTTTTACTCACCTGCTTTTTGGCTGCAGGAGGCTTTGCAGGTACATAAAGTTCACCAGCAACCTCTTAATGTCTTTACATCTGAAATGAGAGGAGCCTGAGGTAAATGGTGAATGGTTCCAGAGTCCCTGGGGTCCAAATGCACCAACTATAGAAAAACCACTCCTCCCCACAAGTCCCACCCACCGTTTCTTGCTAGGAGAGAGTTTCCGAGCCTCACACTTCTTCAGCTGGTGGTACATTTTGGCTGCTTTGTCATACAGCCGCTTGAGGTTTCCATAAGCCCCTTCAAAGGAAACTTCTGACTGGATGCTAGAAGAGATACACAGGTGAACTACTGAGTTTTGGTGGGAAGAGGTGGAAAGGGGAAAATGTCATTCTGCCAGGGCTTTAAGGAACAATGTTTCTAGTAAATACAGACTGTCCCCCACTTTCCATGTACACACTCAGGGTAAAAAAAAGCAGCATGAGAAGGACAGATACTTCAAGCTATCTTTCCTAATAAAATATACAATTTCCTGGGCCTCCCCTAGTGCAGGCAGTTGAGCGCAGCTCTGTGAGGCTGTCCTCAGCCTCTGCAGCGTGGGTTTGATCCCGGCAGCCAGTGAGAATCCCACATGGCATGGCAGACCTCTCCTCAATCTCCCGCTGCTCCCCTCAGCAGCGTATTTCACTCAGTCTGCCTGTTCTGTTCCCCACTCTGTCTCTGGTGAAGTCTCTCACCCTCCCACGCGTCTGATCTGTATCCTGGTTCTTGTATGTATGAATAAATAAATCTTTAAAAATAAATAAATAAATAAAACTTTTTGAAAATATATACAATTTCCAGATTAAGCAGGATAAAGACAATGTCTTCATCTAGAAATGAGACAATTAATCTTACTCTATTGCAGTTATCATCTCTGAAATATGTTTTCCTCCAACTTTTCCTTAAAGCACAGAGCACTTTATAGGCAGCATTTAAGAACTATTTACTATGTGTGAGAATATTTTCACTTTATTTCAGATAATCCTCAGAATAATCCTCATTAAATGCAGATCGGCACTGAGCACCTCATTTTGTCAGGTGCTGTACCTTAACACTGCCCACATTTACCAACGAGCAAGCGGAGCCTGAGAGAACAAGTATGTTGGCTGCCAAGTTCACATGGCAAGTACCTGGCACCACTGTCTCCTGCACAGTCTAAGACCTCAATACTACACTATACTGTTCTGGGTCCTGCTTTTTGGAAACAAGCAGATCAGCTGAATACCAACAAGGAACAGGAAAAACCTATGTCTGGGTGAATTAAAGATAGTCACAGGATCTTTGATGATACTCTATCCACTGAGAAGTAGGTTCTATATCTCCGCCTCATAAATCCTGGTGGATGGACAATAATACAACTGCTTTGACTAATATTGTAGAAGAGACTCTTGACAATTCCTTGACCCAGGCCTCAAGGAACCACTAGATTCTAAGTCTCTTGGGTCATTATGCACTGGTGAAGCCTTTAGCCACCAAGTAAGAAGTCCATCCACCCGAAGGAAGAGACCACATGGAGAGTCCCTGAGACTACACAGAAAGGGAAAGAGGCCCAGGTGAACCAACCCTCCAGACATGTCAGACCTCCAGATGCGCTGAGTACCAATGACGGACCACAGACTAAATCTTACCCAAATGCTACACACCAAGAGACAGCCTTGTTTTTATATAACAGGATAGGTCCTTAGTGGGCATCTCCCAAACGTGGATGTGCTAGGCTCTCTTTGGAAGTGACTCACCCTAAATCATGTTCATGAATGTGATAAGAGAAGCAGGACGTAAAGGGGGGGCATGCTCTGAAAGCCATCTGAGGAATGGAAAAGATGCAATGGAAACTTGACAATCACACTTAAAAATGAATACAGTGGGCCCCTTTGGTGGTGCAAGGGGAAAGACGCAACCCATGAAGCTATCTGCAGCCACTGCCAGCATGGGTTTTATCCCCAGCCAGCAAGGGAGCAACCCACATAGCGCAGCAGACCTCTCCTGCCTCGCCCGATGCTCCCCTCAGCAGTGTATGTCAGTCAATCTGCCTGTTCCGTTCCCCACTCTGTCTCTGGTGAATCCTTTCAACCCTCCCCCCCCCACACACACACCTCTGGCCTGTACCAGTTCTTGTATGCATAAATAAATAAATCTTTATTTTATTTTTAAGGATTTATTTTTATTTATACAATAGCTGGGGCACAGGCCAGAGGTGTGGGAGGGTGAGAGGATTCAATAGAGACAGAGTGGGGAGCAGAACAGGCAGACATACTGAAAGCACTGCTGAGGGGAGCAGTGGGCACAACAGAAGTCTGCCGCGCCATGTGGGAATCTCCCTGGCGGGCCGGGAATTGAACCCACGCTGTGGAGGCTGTGGACAGTTTCACAGTGCTGTGCTCAACTTGCTGCGCCACCAGGGAGGCCCAATAAATAAATCTTTAAAAGAATAAAAATAAAAATGAATACAGTAGTACAGGATACCAGTCTGTACTGATCTAGAAGACGAGCAAACACTATGCTGATACAAGGAATAATAGATTTAACTAGGTGAACCAAGGATTATGGCACATGGATTTATAAGGCAGAGAGAAATACTTAACTTCACACTTAAGTATTTGGCCACTTAAAAACTATGAAGACTGAGTGCTCAGTGGCGCAGTGGTTGAGCACTGGGCTGTGAAGCTGCCCCGCAGCCTCTGCAGCGCCAGTTCGATCCCCGGCCGCCAGGCAAGGGTCCCACATGGCGCGCAGACCTCTCCTGCTGCACCCACTACTCCCCTCAGTAGTGTATTTCGTCTGCCTGCGAGTTCTGTTCCCTGGTCTGGCTCTGGTGAATTCTCTCACCCCCCACCCCACGCATCTGACTGTACCCAGTGCTTGTATAAATAAATAAATTTAAAAAAAAAAAAAAAAAAAAACAACTATGAAGACCACCTTATTACCTTTGCTTTGAACCCCAGTTCACTATATAACCTCTCTCGCTTTTATTTCCCCCGGGAGAGCATGAACAAAGCCCCCCACTCCCCCCCACCACCACAAATTATACAGTCAAGACTCCCATGTTTGGGGCCTCCCCGGTGGCGCAGTGGTTGAGCACTGGGCTGTGAAGCTGCCCGCAGCCTCTGCAGCGCCAGTTTGATCTCCGGCCAACAGTGAGGGTCCCACATGGCACGCAGACCTCTCCTGCCACACCCGCTGCTCCCCTCAGCAGTGTATTTCGTCAGTCTGTCTGTTCTGCTCCCTGCTCTGGTGAATTCTCTCACCCTCCCACGCTTCTGACTGTACCCAGTCTTGTACAAATAAATAAATCTTAAAAAAAAAAAAAAAAAAAGACTCCCATGTTTGGGGAAATCACAAGGGTTAGCACTTACGTGCAATGGATAAGCCTCGCTCTCAGAAACCCACCTTCGTGATCATGGTATCTCCCCCGCCAGGTAAGTGTATATATATATGTATATGTAATCTCTTCTAAGAATGATGTGGCTCCTGAGATTTCAGGCCTGATTAGGCGACAACAGTGGGTTTCCCAGTTTTCCTGGCAGTTCACCCTCCCCATTATAATTTAATCGGTCTTTCTGGTTCACCAATCAGTTTCATATGCTTTTGGTTATGATGACCAAGTCAGTGACCCAAGCCTAATCAATTTTGGGTGCCCTGAAAAAATTGTCTTTTATTGAGTTCTGAGTGTCAAATCTAGGGTGGCAGTGACTCACCATGCTAAGCTTGTCCCAGGCATGCTACCATGTCTGTTAACACTGACGTTCTATAACTCTGAGGCCCTTATCAGAGGATACTTTGGTAACATCTTATCAACATCAAATTTCCTCCTCCTTCAGGAAGACAGCAATCCTGTGTTCTACATAGTAAACGGAATCCCTTAATCTTTTCATTCCTCTAGCTATCTAAGTCTGGAGCTAGGCAAGGGAGGAAAAGAAGAGAGCAAACAAAACGGGAATGGGGGACTCCCTGGTGGTGCAGGGGTTAAGACGCAGCCTATGAAGCGATCCGCAACCACTGTACTCGAGTTCGATCCCTGGCCAGGGAGCTACCCACATGGCGCAGCAGACCTCTCCTGTCTCGTCTGCTGCTCCCCTCAGCAGTGTATTTCAATCTGCCTGTTCTGTTACCTACTCTATCTCAGGTGAATCCTCTCACCGCCCCCTGCCCCAACTCTTGCCTATAGTCCGGCTCTTATATGCATAAATGAATAAATCTAAAAAAAAAAAAAGACAGGAATGGTATGGATATGAAAATAAGGCTGGAAAAAGAACAAATACTTACCAGCGCAGGTAGCAATACATGGCTTCCACATTATAGTACTTGCTGCCCGCAAGGGTGCCCAACTGGTTAAAGGGCATTCCTGGAAAGGAGAAGTCAGGCAGTCAGTGGCCACAATCCTCACCCAAAGCTGCTGAGAACTCATGGGGAGAAGAGTTGGGTCTGCAGGTGACAGTATCTTGGGATTAGCAGCCTAATCTTGTTCCTGTAGAGGGCTTATTGACCTTTTCTCACTTCCTACCAGTTTCTTCCCACCTGGCCTGCTAAGGATTTCCACACTGATGGCACACCAGCTGTGATCTTTCAAGGCTGACAGTACTCCATGGAGCCCTCTCCTCTACTGCAGCTCAGTTCCTCTGAGTTCTCCTTTCTACTACAGCTGAGTTCTCCTTTCTACATGCTGCTCCCTGTCTGTCCCTGTGGTGCAGCCTTAGTCCTTTTCTTACTGTGCCTCCTGCAGGGGGCAGTGGAAGCAGTTTCTTCTTTCTACAGAGACCCCAGGGAAGTTATCTTCTCTTTTTTTTCTCTTTTGCCTTCTGTTGAAGATTTTCCCATATCTCTTCCCTTCCCACCATTTTCTGACTATGTGTCACAAGGGTAGAATGCAGAATGGAGATAAAGTATGAGAGATGAGTGTATTAAGGACCTGGGAGAAATGAGTATTATCTACCTGTCACCTAACAACATCCTCTTCCCCTTGGAAAATACTGCCGGGTTGGGAGGCCCAAACAAGTCCACTTACCAATCTGGGGAGCTACTGACAGGGCTTGATAGTAAAATCTTTCAGCTAGCAGCTCAGTGTCTACACCAGCTAATTCATTCTGATATCGCGCTGCAGAAGAGAGGAGAAAGAGAAACACATAATTCCAGGTTTCAGAGATAACTCCCCTTGTCTGGGAGTCCACTCTGTGGAGCTGTAATATGAGCCTAGGAGGAAGATACCTGAGCCAGGAGGCAGGCTGCTTGGGTCTCTGGCACAGTTTTATATCTGCATTATTATGGGCAAATTGTTCAACTCTCTTCCTTGCTGGTAGGTTTGAAATGTAAAGAATATTTAGTGTTTATAAAAGAAACAAGTTTTTCTTGATTATCTCTTCCCAATGAGGGGGAGCTGCAGCCTATGTAATTGCTTGGAAAGATCTTTAACATTGAGTTCTGGATTGCAACCACTCTATTCTAGAGAAGACATTACTAGTGACACTTGGTCAGTCAAATGTGAAACACTGGTTCTCTCCGTTCACAATGCCTATGAGGGGTTCAAGAATGGGCTAAGGGAAGGAGATGGGTCTCAGGTCAACAAATGATAATGTATCCAAGAGCCACAAACCAGCAGCCTAATGAGGAAACTTTGTCTAGTAAGACTTGAGCCCAGAGGTCATAAAGCAAGAAAAGAGTTTTTCATTTTGAGAACTATTTGTCAGGCACGTAAATCCTCCCTGAAGTCTAACTTCAATTCCTCTAGGAGTCTATGAAAAGAAAACTTCTACTAAAGAGAAAGACATCAAACAAAAAATTCCCTAACCCTGACTTTCTCAAAGCTCATTTTCCTTCCTCCTGTATTTGTGATCCTCTCTGTCTCACAGAAGAGCATAAAAAGGGATCACTCACTGTAAACAGACTAGGAGGAGAAAGTTATCAGAGGCCAAATTCCTCCTGTTTTACAATCATGTAAAGTGTGGTACCAACAACTGAAGCAGCCTGAGCCCAAAACAGAGAAAATGAAAGGTTCATATTCTTACACAAATCCCCCAGGTACACTAGACATCGGTGGCATGCCATCTGTGCCCAGTCCATCTCCTTCCCCGAGGCCGACACTGGCTTCTTGCATCCTGAGAGAGAGAGAGAAAGAGAGAGAGATAGGAAGAGAGAGTGTGTGTTGTGAGCCTGTCCTCTGCCCCATCTGTGGGGAAATGCCCTTCCTTGGTAGAGAAAGGAAATCAAGAATCCAGGGTTAGTCTTAGAATACTGTCTTACGAGGCAGAGAAGACACCAATTCAGAACATACAGGCTCACGGGGGCACATAGGTAGGCTTCACTCACTAGACTGAAAGGAAATGGAAGAGGAGGGCTGGGGTTCTCAGTCTAGAACTGCTTCTAGGGGGAGGTCATGTGAAAGGCCACCATAGGAAGATGTGAGGCTCAAGTGTCAGGACAGCCATGGATGACCTGGGTAGAAGCTCTGGGTGGAAGGTAAAAGCTTGGGTAAAGATGGGAAACTTGTCCAGAAAGAATGGACTGTGAATGAGGCCAAGATAAATACTCCTGGTTTCTGTCAAGTGGCCAAGGTCCATGGAGAAGGCAACTAGTGGAGAGTCTGCATGTGAAGTGGACACAGGGAGTTTGCCTTGCCTGAGGACTGGCGGTGGCCAGAGCCCAATGATACCTAGGCTTTCATCTCTCCCTTTGCACAAGCTGCCTTAAACTTCATTTGAATCTGAGCTCTTTGGGAGACAGTTTTCCCATGTGCCAGGTATTGGCCTAAGAATTTTACAACAGCAACTTAAATTCACAGCAACCCCACGAGGTAGTTATTTCTTATTATTCCCATTTTACAGTTGAAGAAATCAAAGTCACACAATGAGTAATCTTGTGACAGAGCCAACATAGAAAAGGCAGCTGGCTCGAGACCATCCTCTTACCCACACTATCCTGCACTCATTTTTTGAGGTTAGCAGTTCCAATCTAAAAAGCCTTCCTAATGTTTTCTATAGAGACACTTAGTTAAATTAATAGAGAAAACATTAGAGAGGAGAAAAACTAGAATGGCCTGAGGAACTGACCCTTGGACATAAGAGTTCTTAATCTTTTTTTTTTTTTTTAAGATTTATTTATTTTTGCATACAAGAACTGGGGTATAGGCCAGAGGTGTGGGGGGTGAGAGGATTCACCAGAGATAGAATGGGGAGCAGAACAGGTGGATGTATTAAAATACATTGCTGAGGGGAGCAGCGGGCGAGACGGGAAAGGTCTGCTACACCATGTGGGTCACCTCTCTGGCCGGGGATTGAACTCATGCTGCAGTGGCTGCAGATTGCTTCACAGTGATGCATCTCTTGTGTCACCAGGGAGGCCACCTTAATCTTTCTTTAGGCTCCTGGACCCCTTTGGCCTATGAAGTCTATCTCAGATTGCTGGGTTTTTTTTAAGGATTTATTTTTATTTATTTATGCACACAAGAACTGGGTTATAGGCCAGAGGTGGAGGGGGTGGAGGTGAGAGGATTTACCAGAGACAGAGTGGGGGAGCAGGACACGTGGATTTACAGAAATACACTACTGAGGAGAGCAGTGGATGAGACAGGAGAGGTCTGCTGCACAATGTGGGTCACCTCCATGGCCAGAGATTGAACTTACATTGCAGTGGCTGGTGATAGCTTGATAGCATTGAGACGTTAGTCCCTGCGCCAACAGGGAGGCCCCAAATTGCTGTTTATTTTTTTTTAAAGATTTATTTATTTATGCATACAAGAATGGGGTACTCACCAGAGGTGCGGGGGGTGAGAGGATTCACCAGAGACAGAGTGGGGAGCAGAACAGACAGACTGACCGAAATACACTGCTGAGGGGACCAGCAGGCAAGTCAGGAGAGGTCTGCTGTGCCATGTGGGTTGTTCCCTGGCCGGGGTTTGAACTCGTGCTGCAGTGGCTGTGGTCAGCTTCATAGGTTGCTTCTTAACCCCTTGCGCCACCAGAGAGGCCAATTTACTGTTTTTTTAAACAATTAAAATATAACGGTGTGCCTCTGATACAAAAAGTCTATGATCTGATGAGGGCAGGGGCGGAGGGAGGTTGTGCAAGAGGTAGAAGAGTTCTAAGAAGAGTGAAGGAGCTCTGAAGGGTGACTGAACTGAAGAGAAACCACACCCAGAAAAAGGCAATAAACTCGAGTGGCTAGTAACTCAGGTAGCGGAAAAGGGATTGTCCAACATTTCTGCAAATTTCAATACTTTTATCAAACATTGGAAAATAATTTCTAAAGTTAAATGAAACAGTGCCAGTCAAATTCAATTGGAAGAAAAGAAATGCATAAATACCATCTTCCAGTGCCAGACTTACTCTAGAGATCATTCCATCCCTCCCTTTGATTCCACCTCAGTCTAATCCTAAGTCTTCCCTTCCTTAACATTTTTATCTTAACTCATACACTTATTTGGATAAACCCAAATTTCATAAACCATTTGTAGGTCTTACAAGAATTCTTTCTGCCTGGGTGGGCCACAAAGTACATGAACTCTGAGGGATAAGAAGGCCAGAGGTACAGGCATATGAACTTGCTCCTCAAGTCCACCTTTCAGATTTCACTGACCTATGAGGGGGTCGGTGACATGGGTCCAGTCGATGCAGCACTGCAGCTCAAGCTGGTAGTGGGACTGAATGTAGAGAAGGAGATGCTGGTAGAAGCCAATACCAGCAACCAAATGTGTCCTGTAGGCACATTCCAAGGTGCTCCGGCTGTGGATATGCTGGAGATTGAGGAAGGGAAAGAGTTGGTTCAGCAACAAGCTCAGAACCCCCCTGACACAATCCCTGTTTTTTTCATTTTTTTAAAGATTTATTTATTTATTTATGCATACAAGAGCTGGGGTACAGACCAGAGATTGTGGGGGGGAAGGAGGGAGGGATTCACCAGAGACAGAACAGGCAGACGGACTGAAATACACTGCTGAGGGAAGCAGCAGGCGAGACAGGAGAGGTCTGCCTCGCCATGTGGGTTGCTCCGTGGCCGGCCAGCCGGGGAGTCTGCAGAGGCTGCGGACTGCTTCATAATGTAGTGTTTAACTCCTTGCGCCACCAGGGAGTCCCCTGGTTTTTCATTTTAAAAAAGATTTATTTATGCATATAAGAGCTGGGGTACAGGTCAGAGATGAGGGGGGTGAGAAGATTCACCAGAGAAAGAGTGGGGAGCAGAACAGGTGGACTGACTGAAATACACTGCCGCGGGGGGGACAGTGAGCAAGACAGGAGAGGTCTGCTGCATCATGTGGGTCAGCTCCCTGGCTGGGGATGGAACTCGTGCTGCAATGGATGCCGATAGCTTCATAACCCCTTGCGCCACCAGGGAGGCCCCTTGGCCCCAATTCTTGTTAATCTCACTGAAGAAATAAACTTATCTTCTTAGTCCCGAAACTTTATCCACAGTCCTCTCACTCACAATTTAATCCCATACATTTAAACACCCTTACCTTAGATCGACTTCTTTGGTCTCCCCGCCAGGGATTAGGCTCCTGTCCTCTAATCCTAATTTTATCTGACTCTCTTTCTCCTTTCTACCATCTCTTTTTTCGCTCCCCTATCTCCAACCATGCTCTGGCCCACTTTCTTACCTCTCTCTTCCTTCCCTTAGCTCTTCCCCGCCTCTTTAAAAAAGATTTATTTATTTATTTATTTATACAAGAACCGGGGTACAGGCCAGATGCGTGGGAGGGTGAGAGGATTCACCAGAGACAGAGCGGGGAACAGAACAGGTAGACTGACGAAATACACTGCTGAGGGGAGCTGCGGGCGAGACAGGAGAGGTCTGCTGTACCATGTGGGACCCTCGCTGGCCAGCCAGGATGGAACCAGCGCTACAGAGGCTGTGGACAGCTTCACAGAGCGGTGCGCAACCACCTGCGCCACCAGGGGAGGCCCCCCTCCCCTTTTTTAAAGATTTATTTATTTATGCATAGAAATACTGGGGTATAGGCCAGAGATGCGGGGAGTGAGAGGATTCACTGAGACAGAGTGGGAAGGAGAACAGGCGGATCTATTGAAATACACTGCTGAGGGGAGCAGCGGGCGAGTCAGGAGAGGTCTGCTGCACCATGTGGGTCACCTCCTTGGCCAGGGATTGAACTCGTGCTGCAGTGGCTGTGGACAGCTTCTAGTGCTGAGACTTAACCCCTTGCGCCACCAGGGAGGTCCAGCTTCCCCTTTTTTTTTTTTAAGATTTATTTATTGATTGATTGATTGATTTATACATATATGCATACAAGCACTGGGTACAGTCAGAAGCGCGGGAGGGTGAGAGAATTCACCAGAGCCAGAGCGGAGAGCAGAACAGGCAGAAGGACCGAAGCACACTGCTGAGGGGAGCAGCGGGCGGCAGGAGAGGTCTGCGCGCCATGTGGGACCCTCCTCGGGTGGCCGGGGAGCAGCCGGGGATCGAACCGGCGCCGCAGAGGCCGCGGGCAGCTTCGCAACCCAGCGCTCAACCGCTGCGCCACCAGGGAAGCCCCCAGCTTCCCCTTTTAAGACAAATTTCTTCCCAAGTTCCCTTACCTTTTTGTTAGTCTTGATAAGCTGGATAACTTCATAGTATACCTTTCTCCACAGCAGCTCCTCAGCCTTCCTCCCATAGTCCACTGGGTGCAGGAACATAAGCTTGACGCAGAGTTCACGAAGCCTGGGAGGGTACAGAGAGCACAAGGGAGAATGCCCACTCCCTGAGGGGGGATACAAAAACTAAGAGAAAGGAGGCATTTGCCAAATCAACAAAATTCCGAGTTTCCCAAGAGATATCCTGGTTCAGTCAGTATGACCTACAACAGCAGTTGTGGAAGGGAGCAGATCCCCCCCACACCCCTGCCTCAGAGATAGTAAGAATCTCAATCAATCACTTTCTTTTTTAAAAGAGTGCCACTGATGGTGCACTTTCTTTTTTTGGAAAGATCTTATTTATTTTTGCATAAAAGAACTGGGGTGCAGGCCATAGGGGCAGGGGAGGGGGCTGTTGAGAGAATTCACCAGAGACAGACTAGGGAGCAGAACAAGTGGATCTACTGAAATACACTGCTGAGGGGAGCAGCTGGCAACAAGGAGAGATCTGCTGCACCATGTGGGCTAGCTCCCTGGTCAGGGACTGAACTCAGACCATTGCGGTGACAGCGCTGAGACTCAACCTCAAGGCCACCACGGACACCCTCAATAAGTCACTTTCTTCCCTGCATTCTACCTAATCTTTTTTTCTCCGCCTTATTTGCCCCTCTTCCTCTCCTTTCATTACTATGGCAAACTTTCTTAACTCAAATGCCATCCTTCTGGCATCAGTCTGTTAGATGGGTAAGAGTTGAGGGATCCCCACCTCCTCTCTTAGGAAGGTCAGAGACTTCATAACCCATTCCTGTACTGTGAGGTCAGGCAGTAAGTGAGCACATGTATCTGTATGTCTGGATTTTATAGAGGGGTAGAGAAACTGAGGATTGTGTTTTAGAAATGTCTCCAGCTTACTTGTTCCTCAGGCTAATGTTCTCTGGTTTGAATACTTCTTGATAAGCGGTTTTGTTGCAAAGTATGAGATCAAGTCGATGCACAGCCTCCACCACAGCCCTGCAGGGAAATATAAGCAAATAGTCTTGAGCCAAACATAAGGTCCTAAGATGCTAGGAAGAGGATCCTAAAGGAAAAGCTGAAGAATCAGGGATGGGGATACAAGAAGGCTGCAGGTTGGGCTCTGCACAAAACAAGATAAATACATTCTCCATCCTAACACAGCAACACCCCCACCCGCAGAACACCTAGTAGTGATGGAGACATTTTTGGTCGTCACAACTCAGGGGAGGGGGATGCAGCTGGCATTTAATAGTGCTGCTAGGCACCCCCCAAAACACAGGACAGTCTACAATAACTACCCTGTCCAAAACATCAACAGTGGCAAAGCAGAGAAATCCCGTGATCTGGGAAAGGAGATTTTTCCAATGGAAGGGCACAGACTGTGAAGTGAGGCAGAAAATCAAGGGTGTGAACTCTGGCTGTATCTTATTACCTGTAATTTTGGGCAAATTACCTAGCCTCTTTAAGCCTTCACATAAATAAAATGGAGATAATAATAATAATAGCAATCATCTCAGAGAACTACTGTGAGGATTACATGAAATAATTTATATTCAACATTGGCATGCAGAAGGCATTCACTAAAAAATGGTGGAATGAGCTACTATTATGCAAGAGCTTATTATCTCTGACATAAATAAGAAAGGCATTATAACTATAAAACTGTGCTTTAGGTTACTAGGTTATAGGAAAGTAGGGAGCAAGGGAGTTCCTAAGAGGCTAAATTGTAAGGTCTCCTGGATTCTGCTGAAGGAATTGTTTGTTTAATATAGAGGGTGTGCTCTGGAACCAAACTGCCTAGGTACAAATTTTGGTACTTTCTTCTGACCAGCTATGTGATCCAGGCAAAATGCCTAACTTCTTTGGAGCTCAGCTCTCCCACCTATAAAATGGGAATAACATTACCACCTACTTTGTTTTTTTTTTTTTTTTAATAGAGGCATGTTTATTTGTTTGTTTGTTTGTTTTTGTTTATACAAGCACTGGGTACAGTCAGAAGCGCGGGAGGGTGAGAGAATTCGCCAGAGCGGGGAGCAGAGCAGGCAGAAGGACCGAAGTACACTGCTGAGGGGAGCAGCGGGCGGCAGGAGAGGTCTGCGCACCATGTGGGACCCTCCTCCGATGGCCGGGGAGCAGCCGGGGATCGAACCGGCATCGCAGAGGCCGCGGGCAGCTTCGCAACCCAGCGCTCAACCGCTGCGCCACCGGGGAGGCCCATTACCACCTACTTTGTGAGGACTAAATTAGCTAATTCATACAGCACTGATAACAGTGCCTCATACATAAAAAGTACTCAGTAAATATTAATCTCCATCCTTCTTCTTATGAGGCTGAGGGAAGAGACTCTAGACACCAAGAAAAAAGATCAAGGAAACAACAATGAATGGCTAAGAAGTTCCAGAAGTAGATGTTACCTCTGGAAGGGCAAAACCTAGAGGATGACAGACTGCAGCAATGAGAGCAGGTGAATCTTACACCGCTGTGAACACAAAAGCAACCAAAAACAGGGAGTGACGAGTTCCTAACAATCCAAGATTGTTTCAGAATACCCAAACGTGTTTCTGAGCTAGGGAAAATGGCCACAACACCCTGTGAAATCTCAGGTGGTACACCATTAAAGGTTGCTCTGTGCAGGGCAAAGTGACTACCAGCACCCAGCCTAGTGGGTGAGATAATAATCAAGGCCTTGTCACAGACAATCCCAGCTCAGCATTTCTCCAAATATTTCTGTGCTGCCTTAGAGATTCTAGCTAGGCCTTTGAAGCCAGCCTGGCCCTCAATGCCAGGAACAGTATCAGGAAATAGGTCTTCAGAGATTTACTCTATGCTAGGACTTTTTTTTTTTTTTTAATTTATTTACTAATGCAAACAAGAACTGGGTTGTAGGCTAGAGTTGCAGGGTGAGAGGATTCACCAGAGACAGAGTGAGAAGCAGATCAGGCGGATTGATGGAAATACACTGGTGAGAGCTAGACAGGAGAGGTCTGCTGTGCCATGTGGGTCAGTTCCCTGGACAGGGTTCAATCTCAGGCCATGGACTGAACTCAGGCTGCAGTGACTGGTGATAGCTTGATATCACTGACACTTTAACCCCTGGGCCACCAGGAGGCCCTCCATGCTAGGACTTTTTAACTTCAGTGTCATGGACGGATCATGGATGAATCAGTGTGATGTGTGTGTGTGTGTGTTTATGGTCAGGTTCCAGAATTCTCTACTTAGAGTCTCAATCCAAAAAAATTTAACCACTACTCAAGGAGGTTCTAATTGCAAATTCTTAAATCTGGGAGGACTCAGCACTTCATTCTCCAATTCCTATCAGGTCATAAACTTTTCCACTTTCGAACAAAATGCTAAAAAACTAGTTTTGTGTCTCACTATTATAATCTCAGGGTTGGCACAGTATTAAAAAAAAGAAAAACGTCTAAAAAAAGTTAATGGACCTAATTAATTGATATTTGTATTCCCTCCAACATCGCTTCTCCATTATGGGAGTTCCCCAAATTTACTAAAGCTCAAAGTAAGAGTTTTTAAATAGTCCAGTAACACATTTATCTTGGGCAGAGAAATCAGACCTTCCTACCCCAGTTCTTTCCACCAATCACCACTGCTATAGTGAATTATAAAAACAGAGATCACAACCTTAAATTTCCACCCTGCACAAAGCAACCACATACAATTACAGGCAGGACACCCATGTGCACATATATAAGCCTCACATGCAAACACACCAGTCATTCAGATCTGGAGGCAGTGGCTTGAGAAAGAACTAGATTTGAGAGTGAATAGAAGGATGACCAGAGATATTACCAAAAGCTGGAGACAAGGAATTTAGCAGACACTGCCCACGCTGTCTGACAAGCAGTACTGACACTTGGCAGCAAAATGAAGCGCACACGTGCCACCCCCAGCTAACTCTTCATTCACCCAGAGACTGCTTGGGGCAGACCACAGTGGGAGCCCAGGGGCAGCTGGACTGTATCACTTTTCTATTTTTGGAAGTCTATACTCCCCTCCTCTGCCTTCTGATTTACAATGCCAGAGCAGACAGGATGCCTATCAAGGGAAGAAAGGATGACATGCTTTTGACTATTTCAGTGCTGAGAGGGGACCCAAGGCTCTTAGGGTAGTCTTATGCAAACACCTCTATATATAGATGCTGAGCTAAATGAAAACCTCAAGCCCCACTCCCAATTAGAAAGCAAAATAAATAAATAAAATCAACTTGACCTCTATGCTTATCCTATTGTGATCCAGTTCCAGATCCCCAGTTCCAGCTGCCCCCCACAAAAAAATCCTCCACCCAGGGAGGGAAGAACTCATAGGAGTCTGTTCCCAACAGAAGAAAGGGACAAAGATGAGACTTCAAGGATGTGAGTGGCACTGTGCAAATCAGAAGCCAGGAATGGACTTTGCCTGGCATAAATATAAGAGCAAGGCAGGATTCTCAGGAGTCCCCAGGTGCCCCGAAATGGGCGCCGTGACCTAAGAACACTCTAGACTCAAAGTCCTTCACGACCCTTCCGGTCCATCACAACTAACCTTCCACCTTCTTCCTTTGTCTTCAGATTCTCCCAAATTAGCTCTAAGGGGAATCCACAGCACATCCGGTCCAATCTCTCCTTTTAAGGCTAAGGAAACTGAGGCCCAAGGTCACACAGCCAGAGTGATTAAAGCAAGGACCTGAACCTGAGACTCCTGATTTCAGTCCAAGGCTCTTTCCTGCCGATCCTCAGGGGTTCTAAGCACCCTTCCCTTTCGGGTTTTTCTCCATCAGTGACCCCCTCATCGTCACCTTCCTAACCCCTCCAGGTACCAATTCCCACCTGCTTAGCCCAAATCCGCAAAGCTCAGTTCCCGCCCCGAGCTCACTGCGGAGGGAACTCCTCCACGTGTTTCCCTCCAAGCCTCCCACCCACCCAATTCCTCCTTTCAGCTCCATGCCCCGGTTACGCGGCCCCGTCCCCCCGCCCCATTCCAGCCCCCGCTCCCTCCAAAACTGCACTCTTCCCTCCCCGCACCCGAGTTTAGCAATGGGGCCCCGCCCGCCCGGGAAGCCCCGCCCTAAGCCCCCCCACCCCCACCCCCGTCCCTCCGCGGCTGCACTCATCACGCCCCGGCCCCTCTCACCGGTAAAGCCGCTTAGTGTGGAGGACCTTCGCTTCGGGCTCGCTGCTCTCCCCTGTGGGGGGGCCTTGGCTCATGGTGCCCGGGTCCCGGGGCGGCTCCCGGTCACAGGCCCCCGCCGCCCACCACTACCGCCATCACTGCCGTCTCCGGGTGCAGCCGCAGCCACCACAGCCGCCGGCCCTGCTCGGCCGCCATCGCTGTGAGGCGGCTGCCTGCGAGAGCCCCGCCTCCGCCTGCCAAACCTCGCGATAACAACTGCAAAGTTGCGGGCCAGTGGCCTACTGCTGCCAAATCTCGCGAAATTAGTTTTCCCTCCAGGAAGTTGCCAGAACTAACTCTGGGCGGACTTGGCCTCTTTCCGGCTTCTCCAAGCCCTTGAGAAAAACTTTATTAACAAAGCTGCCGGAGAATGGACATTGGACCCAGCGAGAGGGCTGAAGCTAAGGTGAATGGGACAGATGGACTTGCAGCTAGGAGCATGATTTTGCTTTGTCCTACAGTGATCATTTGGTCCATCTTTCAGCCCTTCACTCCTTCCCGCTCCATTTGGGCCTACCCTCTGTTATATTGGTTAGAGTAATTCCAATTCTCCTTTTCTCACCAATAAGCAAGCAAAAAAAAAATAAAAATAAAATAAAGTTTGCAAAGGTCCTCCCTTTGGCTCCCCCCCCAAAGATTTCCACCTGCACATCCATGTCTCACCAGTCGGGCAAACATTTATTGAATATTTGCTGTCTTCCAGCTGCCCTGCTGGATTGTGAAGTTTAAATTACATTAGAGGTTAGGTCCTATAAGAATGAGAAGCCAGGGCCTCCCTGGTGATGCAAGAGGTTAAGCCACAACCTATGAAGCGATCTGCAGCCACTGCAGCACGAGTTTGATCCCCGCCCAGGGAGCTACCCACATGGCACATGGCACAGCAGACCTCTCCTGTCTTGCCCGCTGCTCCCCTCAGCAGTATATTTCAGTCAATCTGCCTGTTCTGTTCCCACTCTGTCTCTGGTAATCCTCTCACCCCCCCACACCTCTGGCCTGCACCCCAATTCTTGTATGCATAAATAAATAAATCTTAAAAAAAAAAAAAGAATAAGAAGCCACTCCCTCACTTCTGGCCCCTGGTCCTCACATTGCAAAAGCCACTTTGGTGTCCTGTTGTTTTTTTAAACCTTAAATATAAACTAAAAAGCAAGGTTTTTGGAGGGCCTCTGTACACTTTGTAATGGGAACATAAATTCCTCTTCCAGCATTTTGCTCCAGGTTACAGTCACCAACTTTTCTGTTCTTGAAACAGTCAAAGTCTTTCTTACTTGGGGGCCTTTTACTTAACTATTTCTCTGCTTGGAACACTCACATTCCTGATTGCTGATCAGGTTTCAGCTTAAATGTCACCCTGTCAAAAGGATTTACCTACTGAAATTGTCTTACTGATTTAGTTGCTAGTCTCTTTTATTCTCTGTTACCCCAACAGAACAAGTTTTTCAAGGGAAGAGATCTTGCCTATCATTTTGTCCTCTTCTACTTCTGTGCCTAGACTACTGCCTAACCAATAGGTGCTCAGTAAATACTGAATGAATAAGAATAAATGTAGAAATCCCATCTCTTCTGTATCCTTTCCTAGAGCACCCTTTGATGCCCAAACCCAGTCTTCCCTCTCTTCTTTCCTGAACTGGGGGTTCTTACATATCCATGTGTCTAGCACACACCTCTATGCCCAGCAGCACCCACACTTTCAGGAAGGATGACGTCCTCTTCTAGTGCCTTTTCTGTCGGCAGATTTGGCAGGGCGGGACCTGCCCCTTTAAACTGGGCCCCACCTGCTCTGGTCAGACAGGTTTGGAGACACAGGTAAAGGGAGGGAGACTGAGAAATACTTGCAGAGCCAGCAGGGAGCTAAGCAGCTTGTTCCGGACTGATGGACTGACCTGACGGTGGGGACCCTTGGACACTTCGCCTCTCCCCAGATGGAAAGTAAGAGGGTGTCATGGGTTCAAATGACAAGGGGAGGAAGCCCCTGAGGTGATAGAGGGAGGGGAATCAGCCCATTCAGAAGAAATGAGATGGAAGACGACAGGGAGGAGGAAAAGACTGGAGAGGAGACATGGGAAACAGCCATAATTAGATTTAGAAGTCAGAATGGACAGATCCAGGCCCCTTGAAGTTGGGTGAGGTGGGCTGCGATCCAGTTTGGAAACTGATTGATGAAGTACCCAGATTGAAGATGAAAAGACAGAGTGTCCTGCTATTTCCAGCTTCTTGGGACAGATTTGTTGGCAAATCACTGGTATCATCTGCCAGAAAGGTTCAAAGGGGACCTGCAGGGAGCAGGAGAGGTATGAAAGTGAAGGGGCAGCTTTGCTATCCACAAGAAGATCTTTATTTTTATTTCTATTGTTCAGTTCCCCACTCTGTCTCTGGTGAATCCTCTCACCCCCCGTTCCTCTGGCCTGTACCCCAGTTCTTGTATGCATCAATAAATAAATCTTAAAGAAAAAAAGATTTTTAATGGGAAGGAAGAGCTTGGCAAAGTCCTAGGCACCTCCTCCTTCTCCCATTCCTACATTAGGGAGGCCATGACCCCAGGGGTTTTGGTGGAGGTGGATAGAATACGTGGGTGGGGGCTGGCTGAGGCCATAGCTGACAAGGCCCATGCCCCCTGACTCACCTCCTTCTGTACAGCATTTGATTTCGAAAGGGAGCCTCCATCCCATTTGTTCACTACCTTCCTGCCTCCCTCTGTCTCAACACCTTCCTCTGCCCCAGAAGGGGCTAAAGCCCATAAGGCCAGCTGCCCTGAAGAGTCCTAGTTCTGTCAACCTCTCCTAAGAGCCACAAGTCAGGAGCTCCTAACAGTGCTTTCCTCTGCTCCCTCCAGGGTGACATGACGTTGCAGTAGACCCCAGAACTGAGACCCCAGTATGACAGAACCTGAAACATTGGCTTTGCTGGAAGTGAAGGGGCAAGAGGCTCCTGAGAAGAGCTCACCCCAGGTCTTGGTCCCCAATAGCCGGCAGGCAGAAGAGGAAGGTGGGGTTGAGTCCCCCGGAACTGAAGACTCCAGAGTGGGGTCTTCAACTGGGTCTCCCACTGCTGGAGAGGGGGCTGAGGATGGTCTAGACAGCACAGTAAGCGAGGCTGCCACCTTGCCCTGGGGGGCTGTTCCCCAGCCCAGTGCCCCATTCCTAGATCCCCCGGGCTGGCGGGACATTGAGCCTGAGCCCCTTGATTCAGAGTCACCCACCAAGCTAGAGGAGTTGCCTGAAGATGACGCCAACTTGCTGCCTGAGAAGGTGGCCCGGGCCTTCGTGCCCATTGACTTGCAGTGCATTGAGCGGCAGCCCCCGGAGGACCTCGTCGTGCGCTGTGAGGCTGGGGAGGGTGAACGCCGCCGGACCTTCCTGCCCTCCCGGACCACCCACCCTGAGCCCTCTGAGCGCAAGTGGGCTGAGGCAGTGGTGAGGCCGCCTCACCGTTCCTGTGAGGGCTGTGGGAGCTGCGGGGGGCGTGAGGGGCTGAGGGCCGTGGTCTCCGTGGGAGCTGCCCTTGTCTTCTTCCCCTGCCTGCTGTATGGAGCCTATGCCTTCCTGCCCTTCGATGCCCCACGGCTGCCTACCATGAGCTCCCGCCTCATCTACACGCTGCGCTGCGGGGTCTTTGCCACCTTTCCTATCATACTGGGTGAGCCTGGGCCCAGTGAAAGGGAAGGGGCATCTGGGAACTGGGCTTGAGGGCAGGGGTTGCTGGTTTGGGCAGCCAGAATTTCCCATTCTAGGCCTGGATCCCTCAGAGTGTCCCACACTCTGCCACCCTGTTGACCTTCTCTTCCCAGGACCACCTCACCCCTATCCCCCCAATTCCCTGCCTGCTGTTCCTATTCTGATCTAGTGTGTTCTCCAACACCACCCAGGGCTCCTGGTGTACGGGCTGAGCCTGTTGTGCTTTTCTGCCCTCCGGCCCTTTGGGGAGCCACGGCGGGAGGTGGAGATTCACCGGCGGTACGTGGCTCAGTCGGTCCAGCTCTTCATCCTCTACTTCTTCAACCTGGCCGTGCTTTCTACCTACCTGCCCCAAGATACCCTCAAACTGCTCCCTCTGCTCACTGGCCTCTTCGCCATCTCTCGGTGAGTGGGACTGGAGGTGGAGCATGGGGAGGTGATGGTGCTATAGGGATTCAGGCATCTGAATGTCTGGAGAAACAGTCAAGGAGCTTTCTGGATTCTGTATCAGTCCAAATGTGCTTGGAGAGTTCACCTTCTCTTTTCCACCTTACCTCAGCTCGTGATCAGCTCATGTCTTCCCAAAGGAAGTTGATTTCAGAAACACACATGCTAACCTAGAACTGAAGGAATTTCAGGTATCACTAGCCCATTGCAGCCACTCCTCTGTGGCACTTTGGTCTAATGGCCAAAGGCCTCTAGTTGAACACCCCTTGTGACCAAGTTCTCAATTTCCTTATAAGGCAGTCTTTTATTTTTCAGAGGTTCTATTAGAAGGTTCTTAATAGTTTGCTAAAAACTGCTACCCTGACTCTGACCTCTAGACTTGCCTAAGACAAATTCAGCTATTTGACAACCCCTCCACTCCAACACCTGCTCCCCCAGTCTCTGCTTTGCTAAGGGCCCAGGCTCCTTCACGGTCCTGGCTTCCCTCTGGGCAATAAATTCTCCTGCTTGTCATTAGGGAGGGACCCTGGTTAAGGGCATTGTCCTGGACGCAGAAAGTGAGGCTACATTAGCTTTTGTGCCAGCCTCATTACTCTCCTTTCATTTAGAATGTAAGGTCATCTGAAATCCTTAGAGGTGTTTTCATGTTAACTACTTAACCCAGAAAGCATGTTCTAGTAATTTCTGAAGCCAGATACAGGTTTTACCACTTTTCCCTCAATCCCTTTTGATACAAAATTCTAGGTAGGTCTAATGCTAAAACATCCCTCCTATTGAGCTAAGATTTATCTTCATGTCACTTTTTTTTTTTTTTGGTGGGACCCTCGCCGGTGGCCAGGGATTGAACCGGCACTGCAGAGGCTGCAGGCAGCCTCGCAACCCAGCGCTCAACCGCTGCGCCACCAGGGGAGGCCCTATCTTCATGTCACTTTTGATTGTAATCTAGTAGTCACCTGTCCCACAGGCCTTCTGACCACCATGCAACCCTGTATTTTCTCCCAGATGTTCCCCAGGATAAATAGTTCCTGCCCATGTAACTCAATCTCCCATCTCTCCCGGAATACTGGTCTCAGATAGAAGTTGGCTTAGTCAGTAATAATCATCAGGGAGCTAAGGGAAGACTCAGTGACTGTCTGGTCCATCTTACCCATTTTACAGAGAGGTGATCACAACAGATTGGAGGTGAAAAGCTGCTGAGGATAATCAGCAGCAATGGCAGGTTTAGAATCCAGGGCCCTTCCCTCTCTCATCCAGAGTCCTTTCTTTCCTGCCATAGGAAAGTTACTTAAACATTCTGTGCCAGTTTCATCATCTATAAAATGGCATTGTAAGGATTAAACGAGTTAATTCATGTAGTGTGCTTACAACAGCCTGACATGTTACGGTTTGCTAAATGTGAGCTCATTACTATGCCCTGCTGCCTAATGGTGCAGTAGAGAGCGGCAGTTCCTCTTCCCTCCTTCTCACAGATGAAAAAGCAGAGGCACACTGGTTTTGTAATAAACAGTCTTTGAGAGAAGGCTGCTGCCCAACCCCACACATGGAGGGGTATTTATTTTGAGTCATTCTTCCAAGAGGGGAAATTTGGGCATAAAGTCATTCCTCTGGGCATAAAGCCCTCTTGAGGTTAGTTTCCTTTCTCTCTTCTCTCCTCTTTCCCTTTAAAATGTCGAGACAGAGGGTGATGAACAGGCGTGGGGTCAAATCATAGTTTTACTATTTCTCAGATGAATGACCTTGGACATGTTTTATTTCACCCCTTTGTAATCTTAGTTTCTTCATATGCAAAAGGGGAAATAAATACAATGGGATGTACTGCAGCTGTAAAAGAATGAGGAAGCTGTTTATATACTGATATGCAAGAATTTCCTAGAATTATTAAATAGGAAAATAAAAAAACCAACATGCAGACCAGTCTATATATGCTACTACAAAAAGAGGGGAAATATAAATTTATTTGCTGTATATGGCTAAAACATCATTTGATGTACAAGAAACCTCAATACTGGCTGCCTGGGATAGGAATGGAGTAGAGGTAGGGGTGAGGGAGAAAATAGGGTAAGTGGGAATTAGTAATATTTTACTCTTGTCATTGGTACCTTTGGATTCTGAGCCACAAGATGGTATATTGCCTACTCAAAACACTTTAATTAAAATTTGATAAGCAGCAGATCTCTGCCCACTTGTGTCAATGCAGGTGCTTTCTTTTCCTTTTTTTCTATGCAAAAGGGGAATACTTCTTAATATAAAAAATTGATAATAAAAGAGAGGGGAATAACAGACTCACCTCATAGAGATGTAGTTAAGTCTAAATTAAATACAGCTTTCACCTTTTATCTGAAAAGACAGCATTCAGCGTTCCTGTTGGGTATGATTTGATAGATTGTTTTAGGGGTCTGGGAATGCTGGCTCGGTATAAATTAATGGTAATAGCATTCCTAGATCCCTAAAATAACCCACCAAATCATACTCAATACCCTATTTGGGTAAGGGTCGGAGGTGGGAAGGGGGTAGAGCTGTAGTTCTCTAAAGTAATTAGCATCATGCCTAGCATATAGTAAATATGTTACAGCGCAGGGTGAGGACCTCCCCTTTCCCTGGGGACCACCCTCTCATAAATACACAGCATTGGCCGGTTTTATAACATTAGTGTTCACATGTCTCCCTATCTATTCTCCCTACCATCAGCCCACTGCCACTTATCTGATGCACTTCCTTCGAGGGTAGCCTGAGCCTTCTCTTGCCCCCACAGGCTGATATACTGGCTCACCTTCGCCGTGGGCCGCTCCTTCCGAGGCTTTGGTTACGGCCTCACCTTCCTGCCCCTGATGGCCATGCTGATGTGGAACCTCTACTACATGTTCGTGGTGGAGCCCGAGCGCATGCTTACTGCAGAGAGCCGCCTGGACTACCCTGACCACGCCCGCGCAGCCTCAGACTACAGGCCCCGCCCCTGGGGCTGAGCAGCTCCGTCCTCTGGCGCCCAGCCCTGGTGTCTCTGGGATGAATCCCACTATTGACCTGGCAGGGCAGAAACAGACTGTTATCTTTCTTGCAGGGCAAGAGGTGGACAGCCATGTCCCTTAAGGATGCTGAGGGCGAGGGGCCAGCACAACGAGCAGCATGCTTCCTTCCTGAGTTGCCTCCCACCCTGCCACTAGGGCCTACCACTGCTGGCCGCTGCTCCAGCCTCCTGAGAGGGAACGGGCCAAGCAACAGCCAACATTCCGGGCCATTTTTCTAAGCTGAAGGCCTCAAGGAGACTGGAAATACTGTGTACGCCTAAGGATAAAAGCTGGATCAGATCAAAATAGGACTTGGCTGAAAACGGAGGGTGGGAGGTATGGAGGGGAAGGTTGAAGACCCTTATCACAAGCCCTCACAGGCTGTTTAGCCTCAGCAGAGGCAGTGTAGCTGCTGTCTTCCTTACAACTGACTTAGGCCTCAGTAACTTTCCACCTCTAAACTGCCTAGAAGTCACACCTCTCCTAAGGGAAGGGATGTGGATAAGGGAACTGGTGTCCCAAGAGAGGTTGGAGGGGGTTGTCTGTGTGTGCCCACACATGTGGTTGGGAGTGGCTGGAGGGCATAGTGGTTGTTGTTTATCCTGGGTGAATGTATGTGTACGTGCAACAATAAATGATTGCACAGAGCTCCTTGGCTCTTTGTGTTTGCCCCCAGTCTCAAGTGTCCCTTGTTTCAGACTTCACCAGAACCTCCCTGTTCCACGTGACATAGGCCTGGTCCCATGGCAAGGGCATGGGACCTTGCATGCACAGGAACTTGCCTCCATGCCCATCTTAGAGCTCTCATTCCCTGGAACCAGCCCCAAAGTAGCCCAACAACACTCACAGAGAGATGAACCCTGTGGGGGGAAAAAAGTCTATTTCATGCCTTCCAGGCCACCAATCAGTCAGAAAATCTCCTACAAAGGTGAGAGAGATGTGTGTTCCATCCAAAGGAAATGGGGGTGAAGGGGCAGAGAGGCAACACAGGGCAGCCTTCCCTCTAGCAGTAACCTTGGCTCCAGTTCCTCCCTGGAGTGAGGAGAAAGTCCCACCTGTGGGTCCCCAGGAAGTTGAGACTGGTTTCTGAGGTTCCGCAGAAAAGCAAGATGGGAGAAGAGACAGCTGTCTGGGAACATTAACCCTCAAACCTACAGAGATTCGAGGCACATCAAGGTAGGTCCAGTAACGTCCTTCCCTCTATAGAGTGACCCTCAGTTTATGGGTTGGTATTCTGAGTACCGCTTGGGGCCCAGCAGCAGAAACAGGCCTCCTGCCAGCAGCATGAGCCCTGGAGCACCCAGGGCTACCGCCATGATGCCTAGGACTAGCGGGGAAAAGGTATCCACCGGAGGGGTGCCCACACCCAGAAGCATCGACCTAGAGCAAGCAGAGTGAGAAAGAGAGGTAAGTAGGCTTAGGAGGGAAGGCCAAGAGGCCCAGCCCTCCTTCTCTTCAACCTCCCAACTCCCTAGGCCAAGCGCTGACTCACCAGCTGAGGTAGTTTTGGTCCCAGTAGCCAGGGCCTGTGGAAGCCCCAAACGTCAGATTGAAGGCACAGAAGATGGACCGGGACCCAAAGAAGGCGCGAACAACAGGTGACTGGGGAAGATGGTATGCCGTGGTGGAAAGAGGGGAAGCTTGACAGGGCATGGCTGATTCTCGGCCCCCCTGCTTCTGGGAGAAAGCTACTGGTCGCCACTGCACAAAGCCTGACAGGAGGGAACTCCATAACAGCTGGTTCAGCTGTGGAGAAAGACAAAAGAGGCAGGATGAAGAGGCTCGACCTCTGCCCAACCTTCTATTCCCTCACCCTTTTCAACCTCAGTTACTAGTCATCCTCAGTGCTAGGTCTGGTTCTAGAACTCACAGGTTGTTTGCACCAAGGCCTCAATCTCTCCTCTGTAGAAAGAGGAATTGGACAGGATGGTAGTGAGTCTCTTTTCAGAGACTGTAAACCGGCACTCAGCTCCCACCTGCCAGAGAGCCCTTCACACTGCACCACCTTCCACCTTCCCTTCTGCCTGTCACTGAGGACTAACATTGGGCCAAATTCCTTAGCACATGGTCCAACACTTAAAGGAGTTGAGTGAAATATTGCTACATGGTTGAATAATTCTGAGGTCCTAATGGGGTCTCCCTTAAAACCCCTCGCCACCGCACACACACAGCTGCCCCTCCGCTGGAAATCAGAACTGAAAGGGGTCTCCCTGGTGGCACAAGGGGTTGGGATGCAGCATTATGAAACTGTCCGCAGCCTCTGCACCACAAGTTCGATCCCCAGGCAGGGAGATACCCACATGGCACAGCAGACCTCTCCTGTTTCACCTGCTGCTTCCCTCAGCAGTGTATTTTCAGTCAATCTGCCTGTTCTATTTCCCATTCAATCTTTGGTGAATCCTCTCAACCCCCACACCTCTGGCTTGTACTCCATAAATAAATCTTTAAAAAAAAAAAAAATCAGACCTGAAAGACAGCAGGTGCATATTCATCATCGATGGAGTGCTGCTCCTGCATGGAGGGGCAATCAGGGCCCTGGCCCAAGGTGGCTACCTCCAGTGCAAACAGGGAGTGGTTTCCTCGGGGAGAGGCCCCAGTCAGGGCCACCTCAAGTTGGCAGGTATCCGCCGTGTGCAGGAGGCGTGGGGGCTGGTCAGGTCGGCCAGATTTGGAGAAGGCCTGCACCTGGGACAGGGGAGGCACAGGAAGTAGATGGATGTCTGTGCTTGAAGGTCACCTCCCATCATTAATGCCCACCCTCATAAGCCAGCCTTTTGAGTGTTTCTGATGCCCCACACCCTTACCTTGAAGATTAGGCTGCCATTGGCAAAAGCCCCAGTGGGGTCATCTGTGGGATGGCCTTGAAAGGTGGCAGTCAGGGTAACAAGATCCAATGAGTCGGTGATGTTGTTCCAGGAGAACTTACTCAAGGAGTATGGGGGATATGGTTTCCCTGGAGGCTTTGCTGCTGCATCTGTGCTGTCAAACTCAAACAGCTGGGGGCAAGGTGGGTGAGTCTGAGCTTGCTTGAGTGTGCCTTTCTCCTAAATCACCACCCCCAGTCACCGGCCTCCACCCCCAAGCTCTCACACCAGACTCTACTTCACCAACCCCCAGTCCTCAATTCCTCCCTGGAATTCAGTGAGCCCTCTCCTCCAACCAACTCACCCTGGTAAAGACAAGGGCAGAAGAAAACTGGATGCTGTCCTCGGGGAATACCATCAGACCACCAGTGGGCTCAGAAGAGAGCAGGCGACTCCAGTTGACGTGTAGTACACTGTGGGGGGTGTTGGTGGCCACCAGTAGCGCTGCTGGAGGTCCCAGGCTGCTCCACACATAGTGCAGTGTGGAGTTGCTGCCCACTGCCCGGATATGAAGCAGGTTCTCGGGGGGCCCCAGCAAATCAGGGATGACCTCCAGAGATACCTGGAATTGGAGCAGTGGAGGGTCAAGGAAACAGCATAAGGGAGACAGAGCAAAGGAGAAGCTCGGAGGTGGAGGGGATGTGGGAAATGCTGGGGTGGGTGGGACCTTAGGGGATGGCTAGGCAAGAATGTGAGTGGGAGTAAAGGAATCCTGGTGGGAGGAGCAGAGATGGTGTGGAGGAGTGGGTAGAGCAGGCTCTGTTCTGACCCTGTTGGGGAGATCCCGGCACAAGATTTAGAGGAAGAAAAAAATTCCACACTTGCCTGGACCTGGGTCACAGCTGAATCAGGGTCCAGACTTCACGGGAAGACAGGAAACCCTCACACTCACCCTTACTCTACAGTCACATACAGGACCCTCGGCTGCCTCCACCCGCAGGCTGAAAAACTTTTATGCAGTCACCCTCCACCCTTGCCCCTAGGTTGCTATAGATCTCCACCACCCTTCAAGGGTAGTTTCCTGAAACCCCTATTGTTCCGGCCTCACCTGGCGGGTCTCCTCCCCCAGCAGGCCAAGTGGAGCCGCACACAGAAGTAGACTGAAAAGGAGCATGGGGCTGGGGGCACAGCGTTCCGAATCCCAGCTGGGTGCCTTACAGCTGCGCATGCGGCCTCAATTCAGATGGCGGAAGACATAAGAATCATGTGACTCATAGATTCAGCTGATGTCTTTAAAGGGTGGGCCGGCACACAAGTTCTTAAAGAGACCGTTTACCTTAAACTAGAGAGAGGTTTGGATGGGAATAGAGTCAGAGGGAATGGGAGTTTATCATCCCCCAACTGGGCTGGCAGGATATCCCAGATTGGCGTGCAGCCATTGTGGTTTTGATTTGTTTATATTTTAATGTTAATTGGCCGTCTTACATCCTCTGGCTATAAGACACTATTCAAATCTTCTGCACAGTTTTTAATTGGGTTGACTGTTTTTTTGTTAATTTGATTAGTCCCAATTGTTTTTTTTTAAGATTATTTATGCATACAAGAACTGGGGTGTAGGGCCTCCTTGGTGGTGCAAGGGGTTAAGCACAGCACTATCAAGCTATCCACAGCCACTGCAGCATAAGTTTAATTGCTGGCCAGGGAGCTGCCCACATGGCACAACAGACCTCTCCTGTCTCGCCGCTGCTCCCCTCAGCAATGTATTTCAGTAGATCTGCCTGTTCTGTTCCCCACTCTGCCTCTGGTGAGTCCTCTCACCTCCACCCCCCACCCTGCATCTCTGGTCTGTACCCAAGTTCTTGTATGCATAAATAAATCTTAAACGAAAAAAGAACTGGGGTGTAGGTCACAGGTGTGGGGGTGAGAGGATTCACCAAAGACAGTGGGGTGCAGAACAGGCAGATCTATTGAGATACACTGCTGAGGGGAGCAGCGGGCAAGACAGGAGAGATCTGCTGTGCCATGTGGGATCAAACTCAGGCCACAGCAGTGATAGTGCTGAGACTTAACTCCTAGGGCACCAGGGTGACCCCAATTTTACTAATTTTTCAAAGAAACAACTTGGTTTCATTTTTTTGTATAGTCTTTTTGATTTCTATTTCCTTTATTTCCACTCTAATTTTTATTATTTCTATCATTTTACTCACTTTTTTTTTTTTAAAGATTTATTTATTTATTTATACAAGTACTGGGTACAGTCAGAAGCGCTGTAGGGTGAAAGAATTCACCAGAGCCAGAGCAGGGAATAGAGCAGGCATACTGACGAAATACACTGCTGAGGGGAGAAGCAGGCGCGGCAGGAAAGGTCTGTGCACCATGTGGGACCCTCGCCAGTGGCCGGGGATCAAACTGGCGCTGCAGAGGCTGCGGGCAGCTTCGCAGCCCAACGCTCACCGCTGCGCCACTGGGGAGGCCACATTTTTATGTGTTCTTTTTATCTCTTGTTGGCTTGTGTTCTTTTTATCTCTTGTTGGCTTTTATGTGTTCTTTTTATCTCTTGTTGGCTTGTCCATAGTTGTAAGTGAAGTGTTGAAACTCCCTATTATCATGTTGCTGTCTCTTTGATTCCACTAGTAATTGCATTATATATCACTTTTAAAAAGATTTATTTATTAATGCATACAAGAGCTGGGGTACAGGCCAGAGGTGTGGGGAGAGGATTCACCAGAGACAGAGTGGGGAACAGAACAGGCAGACTGACTGAAATACACTGCTGAGGGGAGCATCGGGTGAGACAGGAGAGGTCTGCTGCATCATGTGGGTCACCTCCCTGGCAGGGGATCAAACTCATGCTGCAAAGGCTGCCCATAGCTTCACAGTGCTGTACTTAACCCCTTGCACCAACAGGGAGGCTCTGCATTATATATCTTGATGCTCCATCACTTGGTGTATATATGTGTTGTATCTTAATACTATTAGGTTCTTATTTTGGAAGACAAGAATTCAGTTCTTTTTAAAGTTTATTTAATTATGCATACATAGCTGGGGTGTAGGCCAGAGGTGCAGGGGGCTGAGAGGATTCACCAGAGACAAAGTGGGGAGCAGAACAGGCGGACTGACTGAAATACACTGCTGAGGAGAGCAGCAGGCAAGATAGGAGAGGTCTGCTGTGCCATGTGGGTCAGCTCCCTGGCTGGGAATCGAACTTCTGCTGCAGGGGCTGCAGATTGCTTCATTGTGCTGAGATTTAACCCGTGAGCCACCAGGGAGGCCTCAAGAATGCAGGTTCCCGTCTTGGAAGAGCTCACAATTTTGTGGATACCTTAGAAAATACACGAGGGGGGCCTCCCTGGTCGCAAAAGGGGTTAAGCACTGCATTATGAAGTAATCCGCAGCCTCTGCAGCACAAGTTTGATTCCTGGCCAGAGAGAAACCCACATGGCGAGGCAGACCTCTCCTGTTTCTCCCGATGCTCCCCTCAGCAGTGTATTACAGTAAGTCTGCCTGTTTTGTTCCCCACTCTGCCTCTGGTGAATCCTCTCACCCCCCGCATCTCTGGCCTGTACCCCAGCTCTTGTATGCATAAATTTTTTTTTTAAAAAAAAAAAGAAAGAAAATACACGAGGGGCCTCCCTGGTGGTGCAAGGGGTTAAGACGTAACCTAGAAGGCTGTCCCCAGCCACTACAGCATGAGTTAGATCCCAGCCAGCCAGGGAGATACCCACATGGCGCACCAGACCTTCTCCTGATTCATCTGCTGTTCCCCTCAGCAGTGTATTTTAGTCAATCTGCCTGTTCTGCTCCCCACTCTGTCTCTGGTGAATCCTCTCACCCACCCCCAGCCCCCGCATCTCTGGCCTGTACCCCAGCTCTTGTATGCATAAATAATCTTTTTTTTTTTTAAAGATGTATTTATTTATTTATTTATTTATTTATTTATTTATTTATTTATTTATTTATACAAGCACTGGGTACAGTTAGAAGCGGGGGAGGGTGAGAGAATTCACCAGAGCCAGAGCGGGGAGCAGAGCAGGCAGAAGGACCTAAGTACACTGCTGAGGGGAGCAGCGGGCGGCAGGAGAGGGCTGCGCGCCATGCGGGACCCTCCTCCAGTGGCTGGGGAGCAGCCGGGGATCGAATGGGCGCTGCAGAGGCCACGGGCAGCCTTGCAACCCAGGGATCAACCGCTGCGCCACCGGGGAGGCCCTGTATAAATAATCTTTTAAAAAAAATTACACGAGCAATGATTTTGCCCATCAAGTAAATTACCATCCTGCTGAATGAGCACTTTTTGTTATTGTTGGGAGTCTTTTGTTTAATCTTTTTTAAAAAAAATATTTATTTTATTTATGCATACAAGAACTAGGATGTAGGCTACAGATGTGGTGGTGGTGGGGGTTTGTGTGTGAGAGGATTCACCAGAAACAGAGTGAGGAGCAGAACAGGCAGATCCACTGAAATACACTGCTGAGGGAAGCAGCAGGTGAGACAGATGTCTGCAGTGCAGTATGTGGGTAGCTCCCTGGCCGGGGATTGAACTCAGAATGCAGTGGCTGGTGATAGCTTGATAGGGCTGAGACTTTAACCCCCTGTGCCACCCAGGAGGCCCTTTTGTTCAATCTTTTTTATATATATATCATTTTTCTAGTACTATTCTTTTTTTTTTTAAAGATTTATTTATGCAAGTACTGGGTACAGTCAGAAGCGCGGGAGGGTGAGAGAATTCACCAGAGCCAGAGCGGGGAGCAGAGCAGGCAGAAGGACTGAAGTACACTGCTGAGGGGAGCAGCAGGCGGCAGGAAAGGTCTGTGTGCCATGTGGGACCCTCCTCCAGTGGCCGGGGAGCAGCTGGGGATTGAACCAGCGCTGCGGAGGCTGCGGGCAGCTTCGCAACCCAGCGCTCAACCGCTGCGCCACCAGGGAGGCCCTGTTTAATCTTTTTTTAAAAAAGATTTATTTATCTATGCATACAAGAGCTGGAAGTAGGCCAGAGGTGCAGGGGTGGGGGATGAAAGCATTCACCAGAGACAGAGTGGGGAACAGAACAGGCGATCCACTGAAATACACTGCTGAGGGGAAGCAGGCGGTGAGACAGGAGAGGTCCGCTGTGCCAAGTGGGTCAGCTCCTGGCTGGAGATTGAGCTTGTGTTGCTATGGCTGATGATAGCTTCATAGTACTGAAACTTAACCCCTTCCGCCACCAGGCAGGCCCTTCTGCTTAATCTTTTTGACTAATAAATACATGTCCTACAAAATTCATGCTACCAAAATAAATCACACCTGTTTCCCAGCATCCTGTTCCTGCCTGTGACAACCCCCATTAGGAGTTTGTGTCCTCTCAGATATTCTGTACATATTCATTAAGTGTATGTATGTGTAACACACACACATACTCATACAATGACATCTGCACTGTTCTGCAGTTTATTTATATAGATGGTTGTTCTATATTAATGCACTTGCTCATTTTCTACAGTATTCCATTGCAGGGGTATATAGTTCTTGGATATATTTAGCAGAATCTTGTTTCCAATATCTTGCTATGGCAAACAAGGCTGCAAAGAATATCCTCGCACACACAGCATTTCACATATATTTTAATAAAATCCCAGGATAAATACCCAAGGGCAGTACTGTCAGGATAAAGTGTACTCTTAAGGTTTATCAATTGACTTACACTTTGTGTTTTGACATTATTTCGCCCACACCCTTGCAACTATTTACTAAATTTAATTTGCATTTCCTTATGAATAGTTACTTATCTCCCTATTTAATCACTTCTTTTGCTTCTCTGACACACAACCTTTGCCTATTTTTCTATAGGTCTTTTATTAATTGCCAAATTGTAGTTCTTCAATGGAAAAAAACTTGCATTGTTCCAAACATTCTCTCCTATTGTCATGCAATTTTTAAAAAATGGAGTTACATTTATTATTTTTCCCCAATATATTTTAATTTTTTTAGAAGTGGGGCACAGGCCAGTCATGGTGGATAAGATTCACCAGAGAGTGGGAGCAGAACCGGCAGATGTACCGTAACACACTGCTGAGGGGAGCAGTGGCAGAGACAGGAGAGGTCTGCTACACCATGTGGGTTGCTCCCGGCTGGCCGGGGATCGAACTCGCACCACAAAGGCCGCGGACAGCTTCACAGTGCTGTGCTCAACCCTCTGTGCCACTAGGGAGGCCCCTAAAAAAAGATTTTTGCATAGAGCTGGGGCGCAGAGGACTGGGGGAGGTGTGAGAGGAT